CCCACACCCACACCCACACCCACACCCACACCCTTTATTTGTTGATTGATCAACAATACATTCGAATATAATTCTTGAGCATGACGATAATAAATATTTGAGTGACCTCAAAAATTGTTTGAAATCAACATTTATGAGAAAAATAAAGTTCATTGAAAATAAGACGGTGGAATTGACTGACTAGTTAATACAGTTCTCAGCGAATTTTTTACCTTTCCTTTCTTTCATGATGTAGGCATTAAAAGTTGTCATTTTCTGTCGCAATGGTCTCAAGAAGCAAAAGTCGAAAAATACTCATCAAACTCGACAATGAAATCACATAATCGAATCGATAGCATCCATATATCTGGTCTTTAAAATGAAGTGCCATTATCTAACAGAAAACTATCCAAAAAGGTAAATTTCCGCGAACTTTGTTTTTTCCAAGATTTGAGATTATTAAAACGAAGGTAGTAACAGAGTTTAGCCGCCACTCTCTTTGTTTTTAGCGAAGACAGCTATGCGTACAAATGACTATAGATGATGAGTCATATACGCATTAAATGATCAATCAATATCTTTCGATAGAAATATGTTGATGTATGTCGATAGGATTCCGGTAGTAATGAATTTTGCCAGGTCTGCTTTTCAATTCATTTTCTATTCCAAATAGAGGATTGACAGAAACATAAATAACTCGAGTTTCTGATAAGAGTGATAGGAAAGAAATTCGTTGCTGTGAATTGTAAATATCTCCTGAAAAAAGCGTGGTATGGTCAATCGTACAAACGATTAATCGTTTTTTATTAGATATCGTGTTTTTTTCCGATAATTCAGATTCAAAACTTTGCACCGCAGTTTGTAATCAAGTGAACTTGAATACCATGTAGTTTAATAAGACCTTTGATCATATCATGTTGTGAAATGCTAAGAATACCAATAATGCTTGTGCTTGGTTGAATGCATGCTACCTCAACTGAAATTCGCTCAGTAATTGCTGTATTAATGCTAATCTAATATATGCTTCATACTGTCTATCATCAACATATTCTGGTGGTATGTAATATGTTTAAATCGATGTAGGACTTGTACTATTTACATTCGATTGTATAGATAATGGCGTTTATTTAATAATGCAAATCAGAAGTTAGAGAGAAGTAGCCAAAAAAGACGTGTTAGCTGTCATGTCAGAGTCTTCAATCACGTATGCCACAATTCCATAGTATGCATTCGTTGCTTTATATGGCAACTGAAAAAAGAAAAGCTTGAAGAGTATCATTTCACTATTAAATGTTACTTTATTCTACATCTGTACTGTTTCAATGAGAATAAACTAGATCTTCGTCACTATCTACCATTAAAATGGGGAAAAGGTGAGTTTGTCCAAGTTATGTTTGAATAATTGAACTTGACGTTGTTTTTCATGATTTGTTTAGCCATAAAAAAAGAAAACAATTTCACTTAAATGATCAGTGATTAGGTGATACCTTTCGGTAGAAATGGTTTACCATCATGACAGCCATGGGTTTTAACCACAACTTCAAGAGATCTATTGTCACCATCATCCAGTTGAAGTAACTTGGAATAAGTTTTTCGACGTGAATGTCTCCATGCCAGACGTAGAATTATTTGAGATCAAGTTGATAACTTATTGTGATTATGAATACTCCAAGGCAATGATTCACTTCTAAAGAGCATAAAACCATTTAAAGATTAATTCTTTAGATCTGTTGATACCTGTTGATAACTTCATACTGGCAAAAATTAATATTTCTTATCAACTAATAATAAGATGCACTCTCCAAGACAATGACAATGGCGAAAACCAATAATTTCTACTGTTTCATTTTTATTTGTTTATCAACGAATAATTCACTATGATCTTCATGCAACTTATTTGATAGAATCTATTATATTTGCATGACTTCTGAAGAAACCTCAAATTCTTGTTAACACTTACTCTTTTTTGTTCTTTTATCTTTGTCAGTTATTTTGTTAAAAAAGGAACGCCAGAATTTCATCATTTGAGTCATATCAGACTTAATGTCAGGAAACTCATGCGCACGATATCATAACGATGGATGTCTTAGAATAGGATATTACCTTTTTACAGATGTTTGAAGTAAAATTGAACGACCATCATTCTTTACAATACAGCACTTGAACTTGTTTGTTTTTTGGTAGGATTAGAAGCAAAAAAAGATAGCTAAGGAAAAGTAAATCAATAAGCAATCAAAATGATTAAAATACATATAATCTTATTATAGATTGTATGATGTATCTACCAAGTTAAAATCAGATCACCACTCTGAAAACTCTGAAAAATATAGTTTTCTAACATTTTTGATTGGTGGTGACATCTTTATAGTAAAATAGTTCTCAAAAAGACTTGATTGGCTCACAAACTCACTCAAAGAAAAAGTTTCTTCTTATGCAGGCACACATTTTCAGAAAATTCAGAAAATAGAGAAATCTATCATAAGTATTAGATCATATTTTCTTTATATATTAATTTTTCTTGTTGAGAATGGCTAGTTCAACCGAGCCATCACATAGTCATGATGCTCGCACATATTATAACACTTCACAGGAGCATGGTTTAGATCAACGCAATGAAAGTAAAATTTTACATATGCGTAATTTTAATAATTGGATCAAAAGCACATTAATCAGTATGTAGTACTTAATCGACTTTGGTTAGTTTCTTAGTCACTATTTGTGTTATAGATGGATATTTACAACGTATTAGAAACGAACAACCTGACCGAAGCAATAAAATTCATGTATTTGACATGGGTTGTGGTAAAGGTAAACAATGTTTACTTAGCTTTCTAATCAATTGAGTATATTTTTTTGTTTTGCAATTCTTCTAGGCGGAGATCAACTTAAATGGCAAGTTGGCCGTGTTAATTTCGTTACTTTTGCTGGTCAGTTAAAAAAATAAAATTGATTATTATTCATGTATTGGATTATTAATTTGTAGATATTGCTGAAAATTCAGTTGAAGTATGCAAGCAACGTTATTATGAGCGACAGAAAAAATGCAACTATAATGCGGACTTCTTTCCACTTGATTGTACAAAAGTTTGTTATCTTGATTTTCTTTCATTTTCTGTATTGACACATACATTATGTTTATTAGGAACTTATTCGAGATAAAATAAAAACTACTGAACCATGTTTTGATCTAGTCAGTACACAATTTGTTCTTCATTATGCATTCGATAAATTCGAATCAGCTAATCGATTTTTACGTAATGCTGCTGAATTTTTACGTGTCGGTGGCTATTTTATTGGTACTACCCTGAATTCCTGCGAATTAGTGTATGTTAAGAAGTACACCAAATGATACATAGAAGAGTTTTCTTTTTTATTTCAGTGAACGTTGTCGTAATTCTCCTAATCAGAGTATTTCTAACGATGTATTTAGTGTTACTTTCGATTCTTCTATCGATATGAGTAAAACAAGCAACGAATCAATTCCACTATTTGGTGCAAAATATCATTTTAGTCTTGATAATGTTGTTGATTGTCCTGAATATCTAGTCTATTTTCCTTTACTTGAAGAGTATGTTCGAATTTCTTTTTTTTTTTGAATCTGCTCTATTAGTTAATTTTTATAGATTGGCAAAAAAACATGGTCTGAAAACAGTTGATCGACAAACATTTAAACAATATTTCGATAACAATAAGGATACTACTGATGGTCATTTTCTATTATCGAAAATGAACGCTTTAGAGGTATTAATTAATTAACAACTAATAGAATTTGTTATTAAGGAGAAATAAATAATTTAGTATTATGAACTTCCTTCAAACAATCCAAATTATCAACGAGGACCAATAATTGATCATACTCGATATATACATGCTGCACAATATATTAATGATATTAACACTCAAAATCGAAATTCTATAAGATGTTGTGTAAGTCTCTTATCATATTTTTTTGTTATGCATACATTCCTTATTCTATAGAGAACTTTATCCAAACAAGAATGGGATATGACAAGTAAGATATTATTTTAATAACTGAATGTTTCATATATTGATTATATTGTAGGTCTTTATATTATATTTGCTTTCCAAAAAGTACATAAAGTCGAATATGATGACAATAATACTACAGAACGCTGATTATATCTTGGAATCTTTAAAATTCTTCTGTCTCTTTTTCTCTTTTGTTGTTCATTTCACTCAATTTATTTGTTGCTATTATTGTATTGTTGACAGTTATTTTTCTGATGGTAATATGAAATAAACATGAAATGTGTAAATTAATTTAAATAGAATTATAATCAAATTATTTTGTTATTCAATGCTTTCATAATTAATGTTTTTTATGAGCATAATTTGATTTTTCTAGTACATGAAAAATCAATATGATTATCAACAAAATTTCAACTGACAGCATCTTTACATTCACAATCATGATGTATTTTGCTATATATATACACAATAAATTGGTTTACAAACTGTACAGAAAAACCTAAGTTCACATACCTAACAATAGTAAGGTATAGTTGAAGTTTATTGCCTTGGGAATCGAAGAAATCGAGAATTTTTGCAAAAACAATTTTCAACTACTAGCACCTTCGTTAATAATATAAATATAAATTTAAGATATACTATCTCGCCCGGATGAAGATGATCGCTGCATTTCATGTGTAACGAATTCCAAAAAGCTTAGGACATTTTATCTGGCACTACCATCACAGTTTTATAGAGCATGATCTGAACCCGGAGGAAATTGTATAATGAAAACAATAGACAACTAAAGTATTATTGTTAGTATCATGAAAGCGATTTTATCAGTTATCATCTAAGGAAATAAGAAGAAATCAAAACGAACTATGTCGATGCACTCGGAACAAATTTTCAAACATGAAACATTGCTTTTCTTCAAGAACGTTGGTGCTCAATGGTCTGCAATAGTGCGTTTTATTTGTGAGGTACGTATTTCAGCATTTAAACTGACTACTAGTTATAAAAATTTGCTGTGTGTACCAATATCGTTCGTTTTGACTTATTATTATTATTATTATTTTCGATGGCAACTAAAATTTAGCTATGAAACATTTCGTATATATTTTTCTTACTTGATAATAGAGAAAATTTCTTTAATGAGACCAAAAATATGATTTAATAGTAGTATTTGTTTCTGTCATCCGCATAAAAGAAACTTTGAATAAGCTTCTATTATCAATCAAAAAATCAGTCCATTCGATAGAATCGAAGTGGAGATATTTCAATTTTTTATTCCAATGTGACTCATGGCTCTTTCTGTATGTAAACTTAATATTCTCAACTAAGAATCATTAATATCATGCATATTATATTGATATGTTGGATTTTAAAAACCTAGTTTGTATAAGAAAACTATTAATACATCAGCAATTGATAGTAAATCAAAAGTGCAAAATCGAGCAATGATAGATGTACTTCGTATAACCACGACAGTAGTAATTGCTAGAAATATTCGTCATCGATCAGTTTCATCATCTAGTATAACGACAGATAGAAATAAAAAAAGTATTTTACTAAAAAAAAACAAACACATCTAAATCTAGAACGACTAAAATAACTGATGGTTGGTGTTAGAGGTCATTTTAGAACCATCAAAAGATCTTCAATTCGAACCCTCTCTCTATCTTTTCTTTTCTTTTCTTTCCTTTTCTCTCTTCGTTTCATTCCTTTGTTGTTATTGTTTGTTTCTTTTGTCTTCTGTCTTCTCTCTAGGCATCATGTTTATATATATATATGTGGATAACTGTATGTGAGGACATTTATATATATATTCAAATAAATAAAACAAAGCTCATCAGATGCGAACTAACAGTTAGTTTTTTTTGTTTTGTTTTTCTTAAAACTAAAATCTCAAATTATTTTAGTTCAACAATCATGTTCAAAATCCTCTATGGCTCGTCCAACACGTCTTATAAATACTACACGTCGAACTATTCGTCGAAAGACCACATATTTATCTCTACCATCTATTATGAATCGTAATATCAAAGGTGGTCAAGTATTAGCTGTTGGTGAAAATGGTATGACACAATTAGGTTTAAAAAGTTCTATTGATCAACGAAAAAATCCGCAGCCTGTACCTATTTCTGAACCTATTGTACAAGTTGCTGCTGGTCCTTTACATTCGGTTTGTTTAACAGATCAAAATAATATTTATACATTTGGTTGTAATGATGAATGTGCATTGGGTCGTCCTGATAATAATGATGATGATAATAATAATGATGGTGATCCATTTGGAGAAGTTGATCTAAGTTCAGTAATGAATATAGATGAAGAAAATATTGTACAAATCGTTGCTGGTGATAGTCATACATTAGTTTTATCAAATATGGGTAAGGTTTATGGTAGGTTTTATCAATTGTTTTGATTTATGACATGTACTATTTGATCTTGTTTTTCGATTGTTTCACGCTGGGGCACATTTCGTTCGAGTTCACATGGAATTTATGGTCTTGTTCGCAAAAGAAAAATGGCGAAACGTCCAATTGAAATTTCTTTACCAGAAAAAATAGTTAAAATAGCAAGTGGATATGATTTTATATTATTTCTTAGTGAAACAGGACAGGTTTATTCATGTGGTAATGGAGAAACAGGTCAATTAGGTCGACTTAGTCGATATGCATCGGAAGATGGCGGACGTGGAGGCATTGGTAAGATCTAATTTTTTTAATATCTTTTTCCTTTTTCTTTCTTTTGTTAATATAAGAGAGATTATTTTTTTAGAACGATTAATTACACCTGCACCTATTCTTTATAATCGATCGTCAATTAAAGAAAAAAATTTATTATTTGAAGATATTTTTACAGGTGCTCATCATTATTTTTTAAAAGTACAAGGTCAATCTTATATACTTGCTGGTGGCTTGAACAATTTTCATCAAATTTGTACGATTAATTTATTTCCTTTTTAACACAATTAAGAAATATTTGTTTTTTTTATGTTAGGTTTATCATCAACAGAACCTGTCTTTTTTCCAACACATATTCCATCATTAGACGGCTACCAATGGAAAAAATTTGCCGGTGGTCTACATCATACACTTGCTCTTACTATTAATGGTAAATTTAAAATGTGCATCTTTTTTTATTTTTATATTCTTTCTTTAGGTGAAGTCTATGCAATGGGACGTTGCTATGAAGGTCAATTAGGTATTGACAGCCTAACTACTCATATTGATAAACCAACACTTATTCCAAATATTCCAAAAGCTGTTGATATAGCTTGTGGAAATCATGTTTCATTCATAATTGACGAAACAGGCAAAGTTTATTCATTTGGTACTGGTACGTCCCTTCAGCATGGACATGGAGAAAATGATATTAAAATTCCACGCATCATGTCATCGAAATTTATGGATATTAAAAAAATAGCCAATATTGCTGTTGGTGCTCAACATACAATTTTTCTCACTAAATAATAATATTATTATTTTTCTTTTCTTTACAATAAACAAAAAAAAACAGAGAAATAATGAAACGAATTTCGTTTTTGTTTTGCACATGACGAATGAATCGATGTTTGACTCTAAGAATACGCACACACACACACCGATGTGGATGATACCGAAACAAAAAACAAATGTACAAAAAATTAATTTGTATTCTTTTTCTCTAAAGATGACGTTTCATATGAAGTGTTAAATGATCAGAGCGAGCAAAAGCTCGATCACAAAATTTGCACGGGAACGGTTTGACCCCAGTGTGTTTTCTAAAAGAAAAAACAAAAAAAATAATCAAAGACAATGTTGTTTTTTTTTTTATTTTTCTTAATAAAATTACTCACCGATAATGTCGTGTCAATTCATCCGACCGTGCAAATTTCCAACCACACGCTGGCCATTGACACGAATATGGTTTAATACCTGTATGTGTTCGCTCATGAGCACGTAAATGTGATGATTTGTTATATATTTTTCCACATCCTGGATGACTACATACATGAATCACAGTATTATTTCGTTGTGCATCTCCTTCTGTATTATTATCCTGTAATGAACAAGAAGCTTTGCGTTTTGTTTTTGGTCCATTTGATGTATTTGTTGATGAACGTTTCCGACCTTTTGGTACAATTGATGGAGACCACATATCGTTGATACCAGTTTGATCAAATCCACCCATTGGAGAAGTTAAACTATAATCAGGAATTGACGATGATGATGGTGATGATGATTGAGTATTATCAATAGGGAATGAAATAGGAATAAGTAATGATGATGAATATGCATCTGATGATGTAGTTGAAAATGTTTTATCATCATATAATTGATGTTCAAAATCCATTGAATAATCTGATGAATATTGTATAGATTCTGTTTTAATAATTTGTGTATTATTGTTAATTGGGTTTGAACAAGGTAATGCTGTATTTGTTGTTTGATTATGGTATCGACAATAACATGTTGATAGACGTTGTTTTTCCATAAAATTTTCGTATGTTGTTGTTGGAGACAATTCATCATTGACTAATTCATTATCTAATGGAAGACGTTTTCGACAAAGAAGTAAAGCCGTAGGTGAATGAATTAATGGACTTGTACGAATTTTTGAACCTGGGTGTTGATATGAAACTTCACTTGCTTGTGTTGTAGTTGAATATGGATGATGATGATGATAATGATGATGCATTTGAAGTGGAACAAGATGAGCAGGTGGACTTAAATCAGATGAACAAGTCGATGATGATGATGAAAAAGACATAGCCGATGGTGTTTTGCTTAATTCATCAGTTATATTTTGAGGACAGTTTATGTCAAATTGACTTATATGATCGACAACACCAAGTTTTTTAAGACGAGCTGCTTGCTCATAAACATTGGGTGTCTCAAGTATAAGTGATGGATCACCACGAAGATGAGATGTCTCACGCCATAATCGTTCCAATTCAGGTGAATACTAATAATATTTAAAAAAAAACGATTATTGTTGACATTTTATACATTAGAGTTTTGTATTTAATGTTAGTGTAAACAATAATAATAATAATAAAGTTCTCATAATGTTTTTCTTGTTATTTTAGTATTTTACTTACTGTATTAGGTGTTTTTGGACTAGTGGGAAAGCCTAAACTATAATCTTCACCACTCTCAATCATGATGCGCTTTAAATGAATAAGTCTTTTCATGGTTATAACGCTATCTTCTTTTTCTCTTTTTCTCGTTTTCTTCTTGTTTGCTAAGTAACTGGTTGGTTCAATAATAAGATACAGAACCAATGGTTAAATGATCCGGCGTTATATGAGCGTGTATGTGTAGCTTTATACGTCGATTTCCGATAGTAAACACAGTCTTAGATGTATTTTTTCTAAACAATTACAATAAAAAAGTAAGTAACATCAAATACAAGTAAAATAGTATGTTAATATATACCTGTGTTTCGATTTGTGTAAAAAAAAACGACTAAAATAGAGTTTCTAGAGGACGTCACAATATCGTACTTTACGAAACCTGATACTATTATTTATGAGTGCTCGTCACGCATTATTTGTATATCTACAATAAAATTGCTAACATATACATGAATGCACTTTCATATTTTTTTGCTCGTCATTCGCTGTCGTCACCCCAAAATCGATTGTCGTTTGAGTAACAGCAACACAGATCCTTTCTGTTCTGTACAGAAAGATACTCTCATACGCACACTCAAAGTGTGTTTTTTTTACTTTTTTTTTCATTTGTTTTTTTCTTGTTCACCTTTTTGTGCTTCACCATGTGCAAGCTGTGGCAAGGCTTTGATGATAATTGACTCAGTCTAAAATGTGATTCGTAAATCTACTTCTATTTGCTTGACATTAATCATGCATATTTTTTTTTCTTCTGCAGATATTTTTTTTCAAAAAACAATTCAATGCCTTAATTGATCTTGGAATAAGTTGAATATTCTTGTTTTTTTTTTTATTTCTATACGTTGGTTTGTGTAAACAATTTTGAAGAATCCTTTTCAATATGAAAAGCAGCACTACAGTCATTGTTTTTGTTTTCTCTAAGACGGAACTTCTTGTGTTTCTTTTTTGCTTCAAAAAATGTCACTTCTGTTTTTTACTCCAGTCTCATCGAATTGTGGTAAAAAATTTTTTTTTTTCTTTTCAATTACTGGTTTAGGATAAAGAGAGCAAAAAAGAAATATTGTATCAAAGAGCACGTTCGAAAGTTTAAAGGTGAATTAAAACAATGAGATAGACATCGAATAAAAAAGAAGAACGAACATTTAAGCCTTGTTAGTATTTCTTCAGCTCGTTGGTTATCTAATGAGAGTGAAGATCAACATCCTGAGTATACATTGATGGCACACCCAACGATTAACTCATCATGCTCGTTGTTCTATTTAACTCGTTGACCACGTGTCAATAGGATTGATACATTGAACGGAAAGAAGCATGTACATACGTACAATACATCATCAAATTAAATAAGCAAGATATCTTTTTTTGTATATATTTCGTATGTATGTATGAAATGAAAACGATAAATAAACATATCATTTAATCATGTTCAATGCTAGATTTTTTCTTACTTGTTTTCTTTTCCTTCTGTATTTTCAGAAGAAACAAAAAACATTTTTTTATTTATCACTTGTTGTCGGCACAGGAAATAGCCAATATTTAGATAATTGAAAGAGAATTATATCGCAGATTGTTGTCACGCGCATATTCAAAAATTGATAAAAGAACGTCTGTGCATATTGACGTAAAGATAAAGTGACCAAATACTGATAAAAAAAAATTATTTCTTTTTCTTACTTCTAATCAATACACTTGCACAAATGCCGCTATGTATATTTATTGACTATCGGAAATCGATCATCAATAATAGTCAACACAATTAGCAAACCATCTATGCAGTCAAATCAATCACTCTTCGATGAGTCAGTAAAAAAAAAAGAAGCGCAAAAAAGAAGAAATAAAAAGTTCAATGAACCGTAAAAACTACGCATATGTACGTTCATATCAGTTACGAAATAAAGTAAAAAAATTGAAAGGGAACTATGGGAGTTATTCGACAGATTGTGGAAAAATTATGTGTTGTAATAACAATCATTCTTATTTACGAGAATGCACTTGTTTTTTATCAGCATCTCTTTCCATATTGGTGGTCTCATGGTTTCTATCGACGATTTTTCTTTCATTTAGTTGTTGGGCATTGGTTATTAATTAATACAGCTATGCATTATTATTTTGCCATTACAAAATCACCGGGTTTTGTTGTTGATTTAAAAAAAGAATTATCAACTCAAGAAGAGTTAGGTTATACAAAATGTTTAAAATGTGGTGTGATAAGACCACCAAGAGCACATCATTGCAAAGCTTGTCAAAAATGTGTCGTTCGTTATGATCATCATTGTAAGTGTATTCGAGTAAATAAATTTCCTTTTATGAAGTAAAAATATAAAATTATTGAAAATCAATCATTTCAAAATTTGATCTTGCAAAAAAATATAGAGATATGATGCCCAAATAGATTTCGGGAAATATTTAGTCCTTTATGTTGAATCAATGAAGAACGATATATTCATATTAAATACTATTTTATAAAATCTAATTTTTCTTTCACGATGAATACATTATATTTTTCTTTCTAACTAACGACAAAATGTTCATGGGTCGCTTTTTTTTTTATATGAAATATAGTTTATAATTAGAACAAATGTAGACATAGGATTAGTAAAAGAGTAAACGTTCATAATACAAAAATATTAATGCAAAATTACGACGTGTCGATATACTATCGAAGTTGTTTTAATATATTTTCGATTAATATTTATTAATAGGATCATTTCATGCTTTATCGATCTCAGTTCCGAGTTCACCTGGTTATTTTAGAATTTTTTAAAATTTTTTTATCGATTTTGTATTTGATAAGTTTTTATACAAGCTAGGTAAAGTTAAAATAAAGATCGTAATCTGACCATTGACATAATTCAATATGAAATGCTTCACTGACGAATGTAGTTAAGAGAGCATGAAATGACCTATCAATAAATGTTTTATCTAAGAATCTACGAAAACAATTCTGGCAATGTACCAATATTGCCTATATTTCTACTAAATTTGTATTTGTATTTTAAGTATCTATTCTTGTACTATTCTTCTATGTCTACATAAAGTTGTTTTAACTTTAAACGCTATAGTTTATATCAAAAAAATCATTCGCAAGTTTTCCGTCATTGGTAGTTTTCTTGAGTCAAGCCACTGAATCATATTCGTTAAATATGCCTAAATTGAGAAGCTTCATGGTTTAATGACAGAGCTAGCCGGAGACAGCAAACATTTAGAGAGAGAGAGAGAGAGAGAGAGAAGGGGGAGCATTGTGGTTATTTGGGAGAATGTCGTGTCCCCGACATCTTTTAGATCAGATCGCTGCTGTTTAACTATTTTTATTATTTGAAATCGAACATATTACTTCTTTTTTATGAATTATCGCTGTTCTTTTGATAGTTTCCAAATTTTTTCTTATTTATTTAGGTCCTTGGATTAACAACTGTGTTGGATATCAAAATCATATACATTTTCTCTTATTTTGTATTTATATGGCAATGATCTCAGCTTATGCTACTACTGTCGGACGAAAACAATTTCAACTAGTAATGTTTCATGATCAAATACTTTTTGGTTTATTTGATCCTATTCTACGACCAGAAAATTTAACTATGACTATAATAGAACACCAAACTATAGGTCCCGTCACTGGTGTATTGACACTTTTTCTTTTTCTTACCAATATTGTCGCAATGGGTCTTGTATTAAGTTTAACTATATGGCAGATGAGTCTTATTACTAAAGGTCAAACATGTGTAGAAGAAAAAATTGATAAATCCATTGTGAATAATTCCGTAAAAGGACAAAACCGACGACCATATGATTTGGGGTACATATTGAATTGGTCGACATTTTTTGAAGTAAATAGGATTAGTGAACTTTTACTTCGATTATTAATTCCTTTTCCGTTTCAACCAAAACATGATGGTACACAGTGGATATCTAAAGATGATAAATAACTCAAATTTTCTACTATAGTTGTTTTTCTCTAGTTTAGTTACTCATAAAATAAAATAAAATAGTTTAATATAAAGGATAACATGAAAAATTAAATGAAAATAAAAAGATCAAATAGAATCCATATGAATGAGTATGCGTATGAAACAAGACTGTTGCTTTGCTCAAAGGTGTATTTACGATTGATATCAAGGGCAGATTTGAAGTTTTTGTTGAACTCAAAGTTATACTTGTGGTTGAGATTGAAACTAAAGTTGTATTCATAGTTTCAGTAGTACTACAAAAAACAAGAAATATAAACGAAACATAGGCATAGAATACTTACTCGATTGTCTCCGGTGATATATGATTATATTCTCGTGTTTGAATATAGAAAGAAATTTTATTATGATTTTTAAGTACTTTTCCGATGTTGTTTGTTGAACTAATGGCAAATGTCATAGATCCACTTGTTACATCGCTGATATTGCTAGTATTGTTTTCTTCTAACCAAGTACTTATATCGATATTCAAAGTATCATGGATGAAACTCATGTTAGAAACAGTATATTTTTGACAGGTTCCATTAATGCCAAATAATTGTAATGTATCCAGCACACACATGTGAATTGATAAAGTTTCTTGAGCTTGATTATAGATTGTGAATGTAATAGGAGTTATTGAATTGTTTGTAAACGTGTATGGTTGATTCGTAATTGAGATCAAAATTGAGGTGGGTGAAATGAGAGCATTACTTTGTCGTTCTATTATGAAATTGTCTGTCAATTTTATTTTAGTCAACATACGAAAATCAGTATCGGGTATTATCACAGGTAAAATGATTGATCCAGTTGTGGTGATATTCGATGTATGTAAAACTGATATAGTTTCACCGCGTTTATTAACTAACTCAATAGTAGCCGATTGAATAGACGATCGAAGATTGTTGCATGATGTTATTAAAACAAGATCTGATTGATTGATAGTAGGCGCAATAAGTAAGGGTCCATAAGCATTATTTGACTCGCGTATAATTCGTTGACTTAATGTTGTATGACATGCTGTTACAGTTGATGTGTTCGAAGTTTCTGGAATAGTTATTCCGACAGTATGAGAGTATGATTGATTACTTAAAAGATGCCATAAACCAAAACATGGATTCTCGATGATATATAATTGAAAATAGGTCCCGGCAGCAACTAGCACTGGAGTAATTGATACACCATTGGGATCAATTAAATGGAATGAATCGAAAGTTGATGTGAAAAGAGCTCTGCTGGATGTTAAATCGATCTCTATGCGAGTGATATTGACATCGACAGTAAATGTTCTATTGATCATGCCCGATCCAGTAATACTAAGTAATAAATGTTGTGGAAATAAATGACGAATAACAAAGGTCGTTGTTGCATTAATATCTCGATATGGATTCAGTCCAATTGTTGATCCACCCGTAGCTGTAGCCAGATCATCATCTACTGAGCCATCTAAAATTTCATCTTCATCTCTTCGTCGAAGACTTTTTCCAGATGTGGATGTACTACGAACGTAGAACGAGAAAATTCTGGATTTAAGTTCAGTAGCACGTGCGAATACTTTTGATCGAAGATAAGCATCCTTAGCTGGTGCATCAGTAAATGTGTAAATAATCGAATTCATTTCACATACTTGAAGAGCTTCGTTAAGACCATGATAGTATAATTCAGGTTCATCACCACCACCATCGACAGTCAAATTCTTAATTTTATCTATAAAGAATTGAACGTCCGTTGTAATTGTTAGTGGACCCCATTTGGGATCATTAAATGGTGACAATATATAATTCGCAGGTCGAAATAATGAATTCTCGTCACGTGTAAATTCGATGATACCAATAGCTACTGTTTTAACTAGTTCGATAACAGGCGGCATACTGCCTGTCGTATCAATTGCAATAACAAGACTGCTTGAATGAAAACCTAAGAATCGACCAAAAATATCATTACCTACAGTTGACCACAATGATTCCAATTGTTGAATTGTAGCCATAAGAGCAATTTTAGCTGCAATAATATGAAATGATCCATGATCAGAAATTTCATTATCTTTGTTAATCCCAAAACCTACAGCATCTGTTTGAGTTGTCATATCAAGTAGACCACCATGACTACATTTGCCTTTCGGTTTAGAAGAACCTCCAGGATATATATCAAAATATCCACTTGTCAAATATTGACCACTATAAATCTCAGAGAGAATATTTCTCTCAGCGCAACTTTGCTCTGTACAATTGCTACAAGTATCAAGGTATTGTGGTGCATATAATCCCAGTGTCGTGCCAGTACCAATCGCTTGATTTGGTACTTGCCGCCCTAATTCTACCCAATTCGAATGAGCATAAAAATCTTGTAATGTATGCATAGCTTGGCCAAATGATTGACGAGCATCAATAACTGATAATGAATCAGACACTAATTTTGTTTGAACATCAACCAGACGATTAGCAATAAGTATTGATCCTTCAGTAAATGCTTCATTATCAAAATGAGATGACGATGAAGTAAATTCTTCCGAATTAACAAGTATATTAGATGTACATACAAGATCAATAACAGAACGAAGTGCCGAATTGATACTTAATCGACGACTTTCTTGTTGAATTTGATTAAACATTGTTTCAACATCTTCACATAGTTCGGCGTTTTTTCGTTACATTATCAAGAGTAGTAGAACCGTGAACTGACTTGAGATACTTTGCTGCTATTCTTAACAGAGCGCATTCAGTCAAACCAAAATGTGTCGTTTTTTCACGTCCAGAGAGACCCGAATCGAATCCTCTACCTCTTTCAAACAACAGCAATCCTATCAATGTTAACACTAAAATTGATGGATAGATCATTTGTAACCAACTGTCTATCGTTAATGTATATATATATATGTTTTATCTACTGATTAAGTTTCAGTGTATTTAATCAATAATTATGATTTTATCTGAAAGTTTCATAATTCTGTACATATTTTTTAACAAAATCAACATGTCATCGTCATCCGATATTTGTTATATTAAGTCTGGTAAGTAATTGAAGCTGTTGTACATTAGAAAGAGAAATATAACGTTGAGTAATTCGAGTCTCGAAATTTATACTTATTAGGAAATCAATGCAATACCTGAATTTTATCTTTCCTAAAGAGATTTAGTTTTTTATTATCATAAATATTTCGATTTGTGGCTAAATCATGATTGCTTTCAGTCGAAACTCTGATATAGTCTATTGATCTTCTTCAAAATTCTACTTTCTTAAATATTTCAATCAAGCAATAAACAGCATACCTTTAAACTTGAAACTTTTTTTGACATAGAAAGCTGGACTCTTGATATTATGCTTACAGAATATCTCCCTTTCTGCGTAATAGCTAATAATTTTACAATAAAAGAAACCAAACAAAGAGAAAATAGTAAGGAAGTGATACATGATAATTATATGGAGTTTCAGTAGTAATAGTATTAGCATTCATTTCTTTTCTGGAGAAAAAGTTTGAGTAACGTATTTTAGTAGTATTAAAACTTTTCAATGAAAAATATATAATACACATGAATCATGTCCCCACTTTTTAGAGAAGCTCTAGTAGCAATGGATGGTAACTTTGTTCAGATACTATATCTATGCATCCAACTTCAAGTGTGATGTGATCTGTGCTATTTTCTCTATACTCATTCATCTTCTTCTGACCATATAGAAAGCGTAGAAGAGGGCATAATTTCGTGTATACTATGTCTAAAAACTATTACCATCAGAGTTTCTAGGAAAGATGGGATGTAATTTCAAATATGGGGATATTCTTAATATGTGACCTTCATTATTTTTTTCTTTTTAATGTTTTTATCCTTTTATCGAATGTTATTAGCATTGAATTTCTTCAACTTCTGTGAACACTAGATCTTTTTCTAACTTGATTAATGTTTTCGTATTTTTCGAATATTAATCTCGTTCTCATTTATTTTTTTTTGGATTATTTTTTCAGTAATTTAAGAATATTTACTATATACTATGGATTATAAGTAAGATATCAAATATTGTACTTGTCTAATATTGTTTCAAGTGATAGTGAAACTATATTATACCCAAGAAACTAAAACTTTTACTCCGATCGAGAAAGAAATAGTTAATGACAGCGAATCTTACTTGGACAAGTTTATAACTTAATATCTAAGTATTATTCATTACAAAAAAACAAGAGCTATGAGTGTTTTTGAGTAACTTTTGATAGGAACAAAATAGATAGCTACAGTTTTCACCATTACAAACAAAAGACATAGATGCATAAATACTTCCTAAAATTTGATCGACCAGAACAGAACCAACCATTTATTTGTTTTCAGAGTCAACATGATCTGACAATGATATCTCAATATTTCCAAAGTTTCAGAATTTGCCATTATATAGTATAAAAAGTCTATTTGTCACAAATATTGAGATAACAGTGTCAAATCATTTCGAATTCGAAAACAAATATTCTCATTCAATTCAGCATAGCATATTACCTCTACCTCAATGCATTCCGAGTATCTTATTCCTATCAAAAGTTATTCAAAAACCACTCGCGGTTTTTCTTTTTTGTTGAAATGGATAATATTTCTTTGCAAATCTAGAAGAACCATCAACGACTTTTCTAATTCAATCAAAGTATTTCGCTTATTCAGATTCCGAACGATTTACATCGAATATTAAACAAAAAGAAAGCATAACTGTTTGACTGAGGTAGTAATAGAAATGATTTTGCTACAGTAGCTGGTTTTTCTAAATGCGCAGGTGTAATAAAATAAAGTTTTCTAGTTAGTGAATTTGAATATTGTTTTTGTAACCATAAAGCAAGTTTACCATCTGTTAAATAGCATGCATTAGTTGCACCAATATGAAAAACAACGTGTTAAAACATCATCCGTTGAACGATAGAACAACAATTGTTGACTACGTGAGTCACAAATAAGATATTGATCATCATTACCAAACGTTATTATAGCAGTAATTCACTTAATATACGATGGCAACAGAAAATCATAATCAAATAAACAAAGATAATAATTTTTATACTTATTAGACTGTAAACGACGACAGATAAGAGTAAGATGCATTATATGAATCACCATTTGTTGATTGACATCGAAATTAATCTGCATATTGTTGTACTTGCATATAAAAGGCATATATAAGAAGATTAGCATTAAGTATTACACGTTGACTATGTTCACACCAAGTGCCTACTAGTATTTTATCTTTTGTTGTGCCTAATATTTTTGATAATTGAATACCCATTTCAAGACCTGAACGGCAAAAGAAAAATATTTCATAATAATGATCATTCAATGATATTATCATTGGATGTCGACCAATTGAAAATGTAGATTTTTAAGAATTTTGAAATGTTTTACGTTTATCTAAACGAACAGTAACATATATTATTACATTTGTTACCATTGATATTTTAGTTTGTAGTTGATGACGATTCAGTTCGAGAAGCAAAACGAAGAAGAAGAAGCTCTTCAATACTAAATTTTCCAAGTTCTACAAAAGGATTTTTTGCTTCTGATACAGACTGAACAAAAGCATTACGAGCATATAAACGATGATGTATAATTGTCATCGTTTCTACATTTATTGATTGATCCTGTTTCAAAGAATCATCTAATAAATGCGTATAATCAATAGCTTCTTCGCTCATTAATAATGATGAATTATTTTGTATAAACAAAAATTAAGATTATGTTTTTTTTAACATTACACACTAGTCAATTAAAAAGCAACGTGATCACCAGAATATGATTAGCACAAATATTATCTGATTAATTTTTATTAAAAACAAATTAACTGAAAGAAAATAGTTTCATGAAAATGAAAGTTTATCTTTTATTGAAAAGCCTGAATTAAAGCTATATTTATGAATATTTTATTAGTCTTTGTCAAGAACAAAATCAAGCATCTCATTATCTCAAAATAAATGAAAATGATTGACTTCAGTCAATATTCATGAAGTTTAACTGAAACATTGAGTTTGTAAAACATAGAAGAAAAAGAATTTTCTTCTGTTTCAAATTTTGATTCCATAAAGTATGGTGATTTTTCTAAGATAGAAATATCTTACTGAGATTTCTATAGTAGCTACCATCAAAAACAAAATCGAAAATTAAAAATTTGAAAAACTTTTCTTTTTGTTCATCATATTTACTACGTTGCTCTCGTTTGTTTTTGTCGTAATTCTAAACTACTTTCAAATGTTTTGGTGATTGTTTCTTTATGTTGTTGAATTTCAGCAATTAAATTATTAATAGTATCTCGAATACGTTGAAGAATCTGTTGAGAAGTGCGTAAAAAGTTACTATTGATTTTAATATGTATTTTTATAGAATTGATTCAACATTGTTTTAATTGTTGTATAAGATTATTCATTTGTTGTGTAATTACTGCTCGATGTTTGATACTACATTTTCCATAGATAGTGTAATTTCAATGATTGAGACAAACAAAATGCGGCATTGAACTACATTGTGAACACATTGTAGATGAAGAATGATAATAAATAGATGTATTAGTAGTTGTAGTACTCATTGCTATTGATTGACTCACGATTTATTCAACAATTGTCGAAATAAAAAGTGCATAAAAATGTATTGCTGTTCTGCACTAGTGTCCTGCACGGTTACGACTTTTTGTACCCGGACCCGACCCGGCTTTGAAATAGTCGGCATTTAACTGATATTGTCAAAGTTACATATATTTTTCAAACTTTTATTTCATATGACAAAATATACTATTGTTTTAATTTCATCAATTAACAAGAACAAAAAAAAGTCATCTAAAATTTCTCATAAAAACCAGTGAATCAAGGGATTCAGAATTCAGTTGCTGTCGTTGTGCTTCTAAAATTCTTCCAGTTTCACTAAAAATACGTTCACTAGATGCTGATGATGCTGGAATAGAAAGTAGTGTTGGTGTTAAACGTGATAATTGTGGATATAAACAGAAATGTTTTTTCCACTATGATAACATATTTTCTCCTTTTTGATAATTCACTTTGCTTTTCATATACTCAATAACCTCATCATATGGATCATCATCGTCGTTAGATGAATTTTCACTGGGAACGAACTCTTAATACGGATCTAGGACATTTAGTCGCATCGTATAAAGTAGGAGGAATATGAAATGCAAAAACAACCGAACATTATTCATTTTGTTATCAATAATTAAACAGAGAACAGTACGGAAAAATTTGAACAATGATACAAGAGAAGTTTAATAAGCCTAACAAAGCTTAGAATAGTGTATAAGATTAAAAAATACAAATTGTATACAGGCAATAAACGTCCAGTGTGCGTTAATTGATCATAAATATTTGGATGTGAATTGTGTATTAGTTGATGAAAGCTTTTAGTAAATGATTCATATTTTTCTATTGGTGGTTGTCGTCCTGTTATGTCGTGAATGATGTCTCAATGAATGTTATTTTAGATGGCAATTATATTTCCTACAGTATTGACATTTTCAAAGAATCAGTCGTACTTCTCCAATCGATTGTATAGACGGGTAACTGCTGTGTATTAAAAAAAGGTGTGTTTTTAGAACTTTTGTTCATGACAGACATTATTACTTCGTTAAATGTTTTTTTTACTTTGCACAGCTTATATACATATATATCGTTAAATAAAATGATCATTAAATTAGAATTGTCAATTTGAACAATATTAAAACAATTAAACCAACTACTTTATGACGATGATTATTCTTTCATACAAGATTAATTTGTATGAATGTTGTGCGATTATTTTATTCATAATCCTTGTGAAAACATGTACTGCGACCATCTGTCCTAGTGACCAACTGTCCGGATCTCCTTAATACACTATCAACTGTTATATCCTCACGTTTTGCTCGTTTGCTTCTTCTTTCATCATCATGACTTGTTGGTATTACTTCTAATGTTTCATCGGCAAATCCAACTGTTTTGAGCATTTTTTAACTGATTGGATAACTTCATTTCTTTGAATTTGAGTTAATGTCTAAAGTAGCGAGAATAACTTTGGAAAGCCTTTAGCAAATCATACTTACTGCAAGTAATTTAGTTTCAGGATAAAAGAAAGTGCTGATGTAACGAATTTCTGAAATCCACATTTTATCATCCAGCTTTTCTAATAATTTCTTTTTTAATTGAGCAATACATAATCTTTTTTTGCACCTGCAAACATATTATTATTAGTAGTAACTATTATACTTATATCTTGATTTCTGCTTCAACCAGGTGCATCTACACCAAAAAACATTGAGCATGGGATCTTTGAGTACTGGAGCCGGTTTTATTCAAATCATACGACAATTTTGATAAAAATTTTATATATTGTACAAATGCTATAATATATTCTTTTCCATCTATGATTCGAACAAATGTGTTTCACCAAGATGCTATTGCTAATTTTGGTTTTGGACATGTTATGAAAAAATCTTCTTCGACTGTCGTTTTAATATTCTCTTTTTCCAACTTTGCAGTACTCATGTTGATAATATTTTAAATGGAAAACAACTGGTCACATTTAAATTCTTACAATCTTGAACATATAATTTAATAAAATAATATTGTGTACCAGTTACAAATGAATTCTTACCACCTTAAATATAAAGAATAATAAATAAATATTGTACATCATTCATTCTTGAATTCTTACGAAATAGAACGTATAAAATTATTCACTGAAATCGGGTACCAGTTACAAATGATTTATTTCAATGTTCAGTTCAACATTGAAAAAAAGAAAATGTATTTGTCGCTTATATAACTCATTCTGATTCTTAGTAGATAATGCATTGATGAATCCTGGTTGAAAAGATTTGATACGTGTATCTATTTTAATACATAACGATCCTAGAAAGTAAAATATTTTTACATGTTCAGATGTCAGTGACTGCCGGATCGGGTACCGGGTATGTTCTAATTCTGCACCCGATCCGGTACTTTTTTTATACCCGGTATCCGATCCGGCTGCATGACACTATTCTGTACATTGTTTTTCTTCTTTCGTTATTTGCCTAATAACTGATGATCTATCTTATGATTTTATACTGTTTGATTACTAATTCTTCTTCTTAATTTCTAAGACGATTGCAGAGAAAGTGTATAAAACAAATAGTTATCAACACAAAAGATTAGCAATTTTGTTTTATTCAATTAATAATATTGAATTTGGACATATTTTCATCTTTTAGAAAGAATAAGTTACATGATTTTATTTGAATAATAAAAAACGAAGACCAGAAAATATATGTCAATTTTTCTTCAATGAAAAAATGCAAATTCAAATACGGATCGTGTTTGTTGTGCTTTTTCGTCTGTGTCAGAAATGGTTTTTTTCCGTGGTGGCATTTTTTTGTCTGTTGATTCTACTGAATTCATTGTCGATGATCTTGGTCGGCCATGTTTTTTTCCAGGATAACTGACGGGAGGTGATTTCACTGATGGACTAGTTGTATTATGATGTGCTATTGACAATGATCGTTGGCGATGAGATGAATCGTTATGATTTTCATCAGTCGTTTTTACATTTAAAGCTTTTTGCATCCAATGTAATACCGAATGACTACGTTTTCTTGGAGGTGTCTTAAATAAATAAATAAGTTCAACTATATAACATGATTATGAGTTTAGGTACTATCTTACGGATGTCAACGTTGATGAGGGTTGTGGCATATCACGTTCATCTATATCATTCAATGGATGAGACATGTGCTCATTAGTTAATGAACTTGGTGGAGTAGGAATATGATATACAGCCATGTTGTTTTGTAATTCACGTTTCTAGATCAACTATTATGAAAAAGTAATTTATTAAAAAATAAGAAAAAGCTGACAATATTATCTTTATATATACATAGATAAAAAACATGAGGTATTGATAAGCATGTGACAAACTGTTAAATGTATCTACGTTTAGTATTATGAAAAGGCAACCTAGTTTTTTCTTTGTATGATAACAAAGAATAAAGGGCGTCCGCATAACTTTTGATCTCCCTTCAAATAATATTCTTTTCTTCTATCTATGTTTATGCAGTAGAACAGACTGATACTTACAGCACATATACTAGACATTTATATTTACTCTACAATAGAATTTAAGATTTCTACTTCTTACAGTGGTAGAGATACAAGTAGCGTAAAATTCGCAGGAATTTTTTCAACAGTTTTTACGAATAGCATAAATCAAAAACAAATTTTACTTATTCGACGAATCTCTCATAACAAGTAACTCTGAGTTGTCTGCGTATTACTCATGCGTTCCGTCATTTGTTCATGTGATTATCAACAAGTTAGTACCAATTTTTCAAGATGATCAGGATAGTAAACATCGAACCACAGTGGTGATGAATACTATTGAATCTTTATTTGACTAACGTATCGATTCTCAGGTTGGTGATGCAAAAAGTTGATGATATTTAGCCAGTCGAGATAGTTTGGAGTAAAATTGACGATAAAATGAGATAAGAAAGATTTTAAAATGAATCAGACTGGGAAAATTAAGTGGAGCAAATATAGAAAATGTTTACTACTGCCTAAAATATGAACAAATGATGAAAAAATTACCGAGTTGATTGAAGCAAGTGATAGATCAAGGTGGAAAGCAGATACATAAACACTGATATATGTTTGTTTCTTGTTATAATTAATGAATTTCGATTTTTAAATCTTACTAAAACCACTGTTGTTTTTTATTCAACATTCCTAATAAAACGGCAAAAAATTCTTCGCAAAGGATTCAAGCAAACTCAAATTCTACCGTAAAGTAAATCTAGATGTCTATTATATAAATACGCTATAAATATCAGCCGATTCTACTAAAATAATATATAAGAAAAGAACGTTATTTGAAAGAGGATTCAAACTTATTAGACATCTTTTATTGAAAGATATGAAAGAATATTTTTACCTAATATTAAAAGTAAATATGATGATCAATTCTATACATGAAAGGAAATCAGCGATATCTGCTGGAAAGGATTTCATTTGCTTATTAAACAATTTCGATAAGAATTTATTTTTATTTGTTATTCATCAATATATTGTTATTATTATTAATTATGGTTGCAAGTCGTAAAATCCGAAGAATAGAAGATTCATCTAAAAAATCACAGCGACATTATGATCAACAAAAATACTGGAATGATCGTTATACAGCTAAATTTAAAGGAAAAACTATTGATGAAGATGATGATCATACAGATGAATGGTATTTTTCATATTCAGATATTTCAGATGTGTTAAAATCATATATCAAACAATATCATCGTCATTCTCCTGTCCTTGATATTGGTTGTGGTGTATCAAAAATATTTGATGAGCTTTCAAATGATCATTTTATTGGTCCATTTATTGGTGTTGATTATTCTTCTATTGTTATCAAGCAATGTAATAAGATAAAGAAAAATGATAATTATTGTTATTTAATGTTAGATATGATGCAAAAACAAAAACCTTATTTATCAATTAATTCATTTGGTTTAATAATTGATAAAGCAACAACAGATGGAATTCTTAATAATAAAGAACATTTGTCTAGTATTTCAGCTATGTATGAACATGCATCTAATTTTCTTTCTTCGAATGGACTTTTTATTATTATTACAATAAAAACAATTGAAGATAAAGAATGGTTTGAAGGTTGTTTGATACCATCTCTTATTCGAGGTAGTCAAAATCAACAAACAAAATTTATTATTCATTTTCATCGATGTATGACATATACAGATGGAACTGAAAATGGCCCAAACATTTTTGTTATTGTTAAGTACAATTGTAAATCGTACTCATTACGCTCATCAACAAATCAAGCAAAACAAGGATTATTTGAAACAGTCATTGTTAAATGTTACTAGTCATTTTATAATAAATAAAATACAAAAACAAGATAAATTCTATTAGCTTAATAAATGAATCTCATTATTTTCAGTATCATTTTAGTTTTAAGAATAAAGTATCCGTTACATTACAGGTTTAAATATACATAACTTTAGTATGTCTGACCTCTCCATGACAAGTTACGAATCTCTACAGTCTACTTATGCTTGTCATTCGGTTTTGTTGATCTTGCTTGTCTCTCTATTGCAGCATGTATGTTTGTTTTTTATATATGAATACAATGATGATAATTAGATGGAAACAGAATATTTTCTTCAAATGAAAGCACAGAAATAATGTATACCGAAATAAAATGGCTATATGATGTATTTGTTGATTTAATACAATATGTTTTTGCTAAGAGACCAAAAAAGAAAAGATTAACATTTAGAAAAATTTTATTTTTGAGTAAGAACATTTTGAATACACGTATTTTATGAACTAATTGAAACGGATATCAAGTCTCATCATATTACAAAAAAATAAGTACGAGTCAAGTAACATTAGATTTAATCAATGGTTCATACAGTTACTAATAATCATTAATAAGAAAGTACGAATGGTTACTCAAATAAACTGGTAAAAAAACTAAATAATTAAATGAACAATAAACAATGTAGTCACAAATATATAATTAGTCATGATTGCGTTCAGTCAAATCGATGGCAGAAAGATTTCTCATCTTCCAGCAGCAGAGTTAAACTATTGCATATTCTTATCACTATGTTTCTGGTCAAAAAAGTGAAGTCTTTTATTGAAAATGTTAAAAAAGTATGAGAGACAGACTATTAGACTTATTTAGATCTTGCCCTGGCCTATGACAGGCTAAAAACATCAGAGCTTGTAACTATCTCGGACACAAACATGAGCAACCTCGACAATCTATTTTGATCTTCGATTTATAAGCATTAATAAAAAGATCATTTTGTGTTACCATATATTGAACTAATTAGTCATATGGAATCAAGTTTTCAAATCTTTCTAATTCATGGAGCTAGGGGATTGCTTGATTTTGATAATAATGATGCATTTTGTCAATATTCTGTTCACGAAAATATATTCAACATGATAACTGATAATTTATTATTTCATTGGACTCAATAATATGATAGTAACTTGACTTATGTCGTCATTGGTTTTTATTTTAGTTGATGCATACAATATTGATAGAAGAAAGTTTCACGAAAATGTACATAAGCTGGACATAGAGTATGAACGTGTAGTTTAGCAGTATCCATGTCTTGAAAAAGATATCTGCACACATCATATCGAGTATTAATAACCTTTTATACAAAGAATGCCTTGTTCTAGAAATTTTTTTTTCAATTCCATATCTTTTTTCTTCTAGGAAAACAAAAAAAATTGTCAATATTCAGTTTCCTCCCTTATTTTGATACAGTTGTAAAAACTGCGATCAATGTTACTATTCAAAGTAAATGAGATGTCATTTATTAATCTTGATCGATGTTTAACCTTTTATCTTCTACTGGTCACTGAAAATGATTATTTATAAATTGATTAGAAAAAACTCTAAACGATGCATAGAATTTCACAGCGTCAACAACATGTATTGTAATAAATTTCATTAGCTATCGATTGGTAAAAACGACCATGTCATTCCATCTTCAAAGCATCGAACTCACAAAATCAATAATTTTGAAAAAACGAAACAAATTTTAATTTTTTTTAGATAGAATATTCTCTATCATCACCAAGTAAAGATTTCTGGAATTTTTTGTATGATATGAGGAGACCTACTAGTAATTAATATAAGTTTCTAAAAATTCAGCAAGTGCTTAACGAATTACTGACAATCAAAAATAGAATTAATACATGCATGGTAAATTTCATCACATGGGAAGTTGAAATAATAATATTTGCTATGGGTGCAATGAGTTGAATAGTTGCACCATACCCCAAAGGCAAATAGTTGACTACTATTCAATACTGCCATGAAAGAAAGTAAAATCATCACTCCTCATGTCGTTGAATTCTGCTTTTCTATGACATGTTCACTCGAATAACCAAAAGGAGGACACTCGATGAATCCAAATACATCATTAGCATATCAAAATGACTAATACTCTATATTTAAGATTATATTATCAGTAACTCTTCTGAAGCCGCTCTAGAAGGTAAAGAATTAAGGTTAGTACTAAATTGATTTAGTAAATTTTTCTCATTTTCTGGACCTTGTTTGAAGATTTATTACATAATATGAAGAATAATTGTCAAAAGTTTGGTTTTTCTATTGATCGAAATTTAAAAATTTAAAAACTTACTCTTTTTATAAAATATTCATTATTCTTATTGAAGACTTTATTCTACAGTAAAGCATGTATTTATCAAAACAAACAAAAAATAATAAGATCTATCTACATGAATAATGAGATAAGTAGGAAAGAGAATGTAGCATAAATTGAAAATTTTTTCGATTATCATTTTTAAGCAAACAAATTAGATATTGCAACTATAACAAAAACAAAACCAACAAGTGTACAGACAAAGAGATAACGATTTCGAAATGTACAATATGTCAATATTCTTTGAATTTTGCTTGTTTATCACTGTCTAGGACGATTCATATTGAAAGACATTATCAGTCGTACAAAAGCAATAGCAAATAAATAATGTACACAAAGCACAAGTAAAGAATAGGAATGTAGAAAATTTCGTTCCGGGCTTTTTTGATTCGTTCAGCTCAATTTAAGAATATCATCAAATAATGCTTTTGCTGTACGAGCGATATTAACAGCATGTTCATTCATTTTATTATAATTTCGTTGTCGAGCAGTTTCAATTAATGAAACAACTAAAGTTGAAAAGTGATTATACCGCTGTTCGGACTAAAAATAAAAATTTAAATATTTTAATTGAATGAAATATTAGAAAAAAAAACACAATATTAACCATTTCTTTAATTGATGTTGGTGCATAATCAAGTGTTTGTAAAAGATCACGAACAGCAATAGCAATATTTTTAACTAATTGTATTTGTTCTTTATCATTTGTTGGTGATAATGAACGATTATATTTCGATGATAGACCATTATTAATATCCGCTTCATTTTGACGTGTTAGTATCAATACCGCACTAACAATTTGTTTCGTTTGTGATTGAAATAAATCAATTAATACTGATTGTGACATTGGACATTGTTCTTTAGACTTCGTTGTTTTAAAATCTGGAAAATCTTTATTATCATAAAATGAAAGCTACAAAGAAAATAAGAAAAGTTTAAAATATGCTTAAATTACTAAGAAAAATTACTGTATTTCCAGTCGAACTGCGATATTGAAGATTGTGACTAGATTCACTTCGTCCCGTAGTTATCTTGTTATTACTGACTAAATGAATAAATATACATATATGTATATATTAATGTTCAATATTAGATTATTTTCAAATAAGGACTAAACAAAACATTAGAGTCAAAAACCCAAGTCTAGTCCTGAAAAAAATATTCAATTCAAAAAGTTCTTTCAATGCAATCTTTATGATATTATAATGTGAAAAACAATAAAGTAACGTTATTGTCAGATAAGAACTTTTACATCAGCAGTGGATGAATAGAGAAAGTAGTATGAAAATGACAATTTTGAATTTCTCGCTCTGAGCTATTCGATATTAGTTTTAACATGTAGAATGGAAGATCCAAGATTGAATGAAGTCTCCTACGAGAGAATTTCTCCAACTGATAAATCACTATTGAATCGAGACTAAAGTCCATCGAGTCCGAGTCCAACATTTTTGGATTCAACAAGATCAAATCGTCTAAAAACTGTATAGAATGCACTAGTCACCAAATACAAAAAAATCGGAAAAAAGTATTTCATTTCTTCGGAGCGACTATCCAATTTCGATTAGAAAATTTCATTGAGAGTATCAAAGTACGATTCGACCGAATCTGGGTTCGAAAATTTTGAATCCAACGAGCTCCATCCAAGACTATAGACAGTATGTAGTTCCAAAAGAGCTATGAATACGCTGAAAAGAGTTCATGCTCTTAGTTTATTGCTACGAATATACTGAGTTTTTAAAGTATTTTAAAATGAATATCGTGTCCCCCCCCCCCTCAGAAACACTAGAAGAACTGATTTTCGAATTTCGACTTGAAACTTTGCATAGTTACACTGGGATACAACTATAGTAATAGCGTGTCTCTTACATCGCTCTTATTAACCTGTCAGAATTAATGTTTTTATTTCGAGACAAAAGCAAATCAAAAGACTTGAAACCATAGATGGAATGAATCGAGTTTTTTGACGATCGGCTTCGATACCAGTCTGAAAAAGTCAGACAGAACCGAGCCAGCCAGTAAACTGGTTTGACTGGTCTACCGGTATTCAGAGCTCTAGCCAGGAACATGTAAGGGATGCTTGTGCGCCCTCCCCCTCTCTCCCCCTTGGTCAAAAGATACCTGGACAGGGTACGGATAAACTTTTCACGAAACAAAAAGTCACTTTCCTACTGATGTGCACTCTTCTTTCAAAGTTTGGGAGAATTTCACTGTCGATAATAAATCGATTCTTACAAGAAATCGTGTTCCACAGTGAACTCTCGTAGCTTACTAACTTATATCAGGAATTGGAAATACCTGAACAATTTTATACTAATATTCAATATGTGATTTTCTACAAAAATAAGCAGCGATTGGAATACCAACGTGTTATACTAATCTAATATAATACATTAATATTCCAATCGCTGTTATTTTTCATTTCAATACCACACATTCAATATGAGCGCATAATTGTTCAGATATTTCAGATTCATGGTATAAGTTAGTAAGCTGCAAGAGTTCACTGTGAAACACGATTTTTTGTAAGAATCGATCTATTAGTGGTAGATCAGCATTTACTAGTAGGCCGATATTTACTACTAAGTCGGTATTTACCGGTAGACTGGTTCGTTACGGGTGAACCGATTTGTTACCAGTAGACCGGTCTGTCTAAAACCCGGACCGGCCGGTTTCATCCATGCTTGAAACTGTCGCAATAAATTAATCTTGCTAAGGTCTGTCTTTATAGAAGTTATCAAATCGAAAATCAGTTTTTCTAGTATTTATGACGAGGACCATGGTATTTCATTTAAAAATACCGTAAACGTACAAGAAGAATATTCAGTCTGCTAGCACTCAGTAAATGACTACTCATAGAACTGGCTAACATATATATATATATGAGAAATTTTGAATATAAACTAACTTGGTAATCTGCTGCCTGTAAATTCATTTTTATTGGGTAAAGCTGGTTTAGGTGGTACATTATCATCGTTTAGTGATAATAAGATTGACGAAGAAACTGTTAATGACGTATTCGATTTAGATTTTAATGCTATTTGTTCATTGGAATACATTCGGTCTTTAAAATGAATATGTGAATTACTATTTAATCGTTCTTCATTTAATATAGATCTAAAAAATAATGAAATTTTTTAAATATTTTTTTTCTTAATAATTAATTTTAAATAATGATTTTACTTTAAATATGATTCAATTTGAAGAAATGATGGTCGATTTGTTGGTTCATATGACCAGCATTCTTGTAATAAATCAAATAAACGTTTTGGACAATAAGCACCGGGTAATGGTAATCGAATACCATTTTCAATTTGATCAATAACATCTGTATTAGCAACACCTTGAAATGGTTTTTTACCCATTGTTAAAATTTCCCACATACAAACAGCAAACATCCATACATCAGATAAATGAGTAAAACGACGAAAATTTATCGATTCAGGTGCCATCCACTTTATTGGTAATTTACCTTTGGATGCTAAACGAAAAGAGATCTTCTTGCAAAAAGACTAATTTTTTTGTTTATTTTATTTTAATACCTTTATAATAGGAATCATCAACTTTTAATTGTCTTGAAAGACCAAAATCAGCTAATTTAACTGACTCATGATTCGATACAAGAACATTTCTTGCAGCAATATCACTTGTGAAACGAAAAAAACAAACGCATTATTTTTATGTTTTATTTCAATTTTTCTTACCGGTGAACAAATTTCTTTGATTCAAGATATGCAAGTGCGGACGATAATTGTTCACAATACAGTACTAATGTTATCACATCAAAATCAGAACGATTCGCAACTAAATAAGCTCGAAGCTAAACAATGAAAAAATACGTAAATTAGATATTGAAAAATAAATAAGATCATTCGAACTTCGCCTAGTCTTGCTAATTCCATAATAAGTAAAACAGGTTGTTCAGTACAAACACCAATAAGTTTTATAATATGTGGATGATCAAATTTTTGCATCACATCTTAAAAATAAAAACTATTAGAAAAGTTCGTGTAGAAATAAAACGTGAAACACAATGTAGCTACCGTAACTAATCACAGTTAGATTGATTTATTCTATCCGTTGTGGGGCTTATTTCTTTACGATCATTTTACTAAATCTTCCAGAAATGCAATGTGTAGTTAATGAGATGTTATTGACATACGGTCTTTGATTGTTTATCAAGAGTGTTGCTAACACGTTTGACATTGTCTATGATCGTATATCAATAACACATGTCGCCATCTGTAATGCGAAAGAACATCTGTCCCATCTGCGATGTGTCATTTCTAGCGTGTCTATCATGATCTGTCGATGCTGTCTGTCATAGTCTGTGCGAAGTATTGATTTATACTCTACATGCTACTATACTCCTCTTAGATCATGTTTCACAAAAAAAGAATATTTAACTAATTTAAATGAGAAGCATGACTTACACGCTTCTTCTAAAAATGTTTCTGTCATTGCTGTATCTTGCATTTTACATGTTTTTATCGCAATATTTATTTCTAATTGTTGATCAGTCTAAAATAAATATTAAAATACACAAAATATTAATTAAATTAAATGGTTTTTTTTTTACTTTCAGTATTCCACGATAAACTTCACCGAATTGACCATTCCCAAGTGACTCAATCATATGTATTTGTTTACGATCAATTTGATAATCTGATGATAATACATCAGCATAATCTCCATTTGAATCATCATCATCATCATCAACTGTAAATCAACAAAAATTATTATTAGATAATTCATAACAAAAATATTACCTTGTGATGATGTGGTATCGGATGGATGAGGAGCAAGAAAAGGAGGCGGTGATGAAGCTGATGAATATTGATCGTCAATCATCGATCGCCAAAGTGTATGTGTACTTCGATTAACAAGCATACAATAGCCATCAATAAGAATAGCAACTTCATTAGCATCAGAAAGAGATGAAAAACTAATTGTTAAAGTCTAAATTAAAAAATTTTTTCATAATTTCAAGTTAGATTAAAAATAAATATATTAAAACCTCTGATGACCCAGCAATAGTTAATTTAAGTAAGCCACGTTCATCTGAATTTGTTTTTGTCGTTGCTATTGAAAGAACATTTTCAAAAGAAGCCATTTTAGTTAACTACATATATATAATTAACTTAATCAAATATCAAGTAAATTATATCGAATTTTACCTTAGTGGAATTTTGAGTTCGATAGCTGATACCATCTGATGGACCAAGAACAAGACTGATTGGAACTGCCCATTCAGCCTAAAGAAAAATATTTATATAATATCTTTAAGTAATTTATTTTAAAATTAAATCAAATCAACCATATTATTCGAGCTCAAAACCAATAATTCAACGTAGAAAAAGCAAATGAAAACATTTGTCGAGAGAACTGCTCCAAGTGTCAAGTCACTTTTCGACTAAGACGATATTCATTTGATGAGTATTAGGAAGTAATAGAAAAGTCTAGAATGATTTGATTTTTCAAATCTTCGTTCTTGAGATATCGAAATATTATACGAGGTTTTTCAACAATAAGCTGTGTTCCACTCATGTCACGTAGAAAATCGACTTTCGACTTCAATCTTTGCATGGACAAACTTCACAATAAGATTAGTTCATTGAACAAGTTGTAACTTTTCTAAAAATCTTTCATACTGAGATATTAAATATTCGAAATTCTCTCCTCTGTAAAAGCAAATTTTGTTCGTTTATTCTCGTCTCCAGCAAAGAACTACTAAAAAAACTAAAACTATTGTAATCAAGTAATCTCATTAAGAACTTTTGTTCTTGCAAAATGTGAAGTTGATACTCAATTTTCCACGTGACCACATCTTTTTATTGAAAAACCCAGGACAATTTCGACATTGCAAGAACGAATGCTCGAAAAACTAAACCATTCTTAGACTTTTCTATTACGCTCTAGCATTCATCAGATGAGCATCGTCTTAGTCGAAAAACGATTTGAAATCTCTGGCGAAGCTCTCTGATGAGTTCTGAAATATCTTTTGTACAAGTTGATCTAAAATAAAATTAATGTAAAATATCTACTTACACCAAGATTGCATGTAAATATTTCTTGTTCCCAATTCCAAGTATCTTTGAGTAAAGAGCAAAAACGTTTGACACATTCTTCTTCTGCTAAACCTTCATATTTTTTTAAACATGCTTTAATAGACTTTCGAAGAAATTTTGGCTTAAAAATAAATTTAATTCGAATAATTTTGTTGAAATTTTTTTTTATAACAAACTTTATGAGAATCAATAACAGATTGTGGAAAAAATCTTTTTAAGCCAAGTTCTTTTTCCAAATAATCAACATTTACTTTTTTATCTAATGCTGTTGGATTAAGATCTTTGAAAAGTTTACGAATTTCAAGTGAACCTAATTCAATAGCATCATTCACTGGTACATGTTCAGATTTTAAACGCATATAATCAATACGAAGCTATATGAAGTAATATTAAAATTATCATATTCAAACATAATGAAAGATATACTTGTTCATAAAAATATCCAAATGTTGCTTTGTCATGTGATAGAGCATTAATTGATTCTGGAAAATATCGCAGACGAAGTTCAAATCTAAATATTGATTTAATACAAAACCAAAAAATTAAATTTATTTTCTACTTTAATTCTTCAATAGATCCATAAATTCGTTGTACTTTATCCATGGTCATATTTGGATGAAGCCATTTATCTGTCACATTTGTTTTATCTAATGAAGATGTTATACGTAGATTTGCTATTTCTTGTTCTTTACCAACATATGTTACACGAAGTGCAAATGATAAACGGTAAAACAATTCACTAGATGAAAGACGGCCTTTTAATACAATTCGAATAAGTTCCTAAAAAGACAACAAAAACAAGTTCAATGAAAATAATCATTGTTTTTTGTCGTCTATTCATACAGCAACAGTTGTCGATGATGTATAACGAAGACCATGAAAAGAACCATTTGGAAAATATACCTTAAGAAATGTACTCCTATCCATATTTATATCAGCATTACCAACGCCGATAAAGACTGAAGGATCAATGTATCTCGGAATTCTATTCGTCCTAAACATAAACCATTAAAATACAAAACTGTTTATACGATGACCTCTATCGATTAATCATTTAATACGTTTATAGTAACTAAATCATATTTTAGTAGTTACCTGTATGACATTGATTGATTCCATTAGGATTGTTTTTGTTTTTTTCAAATTCGATAAAGTTATGATTGTGAGTAGGATTCTTATCAGATCATTCAAACAAAAAAAATCTCACGTAAGTAATAATTAAATCATCTTTTGGTTGCCTAGTCAAGAGTATTCGTTTAGAAAGTGTTTTCCTTGTTGGGTATAGTGACATAAGAGTTGACATGCCTCATTATAAAAGACAGTGTTCAACTTTCTAATATGATATAATGTCACAATATGGAACACATTTCGATAGTGAGGAACACTAACTTTAATGTTTTCACATATCTTTGTGAAATACTTGCTAAATAAATAATCTAGATAATGGATAATCATAAATTCTTTTTAGATTTGTCGAACACTTTGTTCAACTCAAAGATCAAGTGCAATCACAAATGCCGAAAAAACATACCCACATTCAGGTGCCCGTACTGTATTTAATGGTGTGGGCTCTCAAGCAATGTTTACTGCACAGACTGCACTAATACCAGAACTTACTGCAGGAGAAATTCTTGTTAAAGTAATTCGATAAAAGAGTATTGTTGGTTATTTATTGTTGGTTATAAAGGTTCGTTTAGCATCAATTTGCATGAGTGATGTACATACAATTACAGGCCAACGTATTGAACCGATACCAAGGTAAATAATTTTTTTTCAATAGCTTCTTTTTTTTATTTTAATATTTCCTTTTTTGTTTGTTTCAAGTGTTCTTGGTCACGAAGCTATTGTTCAAGTTGTTAGTCATCGTCGACCTGAAAGTGATTTAGCTGTAGGCGATCGTTTAACATTTTCAGTTGCAGATTCTTGTGGTCAATGTGAATTTTGTTTAACTGGACTCAATCAAAAATGTGTTAAACTATTTAAAGTATGAAAAGAAAAAATATAATGTTTACCTTTGTTTTACAAATATATCCTTATTTCAATATAGTATGGCCATGCGAAATTAAGTGATGGATCTGGATATAATGGTTGCTATGCTACACATATTATCCTTCGACGTGGTACTCATGTTGTAAAAATACCTGAAACTGTATCAGATCGATGTGCAGCACCAATTAATTGTTCATTAGCAACGACAATGTGTGCTATGGAATATGTACCGAAAGTAAAAAATGGACGTGCTTTTGTTCAGGTAAAATTTTATTCTAAATTTCTAAGCAGCAAAAAAATACTATTTGTTAATTTTTACTAAAATTAACACATTCAATTCATACAGATGCATAATCTTATCTTGGAAAATTTTTTGTATTTTGCTAAATTCATTGAGTCTTTGACATATATTCAAAAATAGATGCATACAATCCGAAGGAAATTAATCTCCTCGTTTCCTTTAGCATTCATCTATAAATTTTGATTGATGAAACATTTAATCATGTTCTCTTAACAAATACTTTACATTTGTATATTTTTTCTCACTTAGGATATGAGAATTGGCATGAAGTGCATATTTTATAGTTGCAAAATCTTATTGAAGATAATCCTTGAAAATAAAGAGATTTTAGTTCGTAGAAGACCAAATCAATAAAATAATTTAGATAATAATTTATTACATTATAAATCACGATCTACTGAACAATTATATATACAATTGATAACAAATTTGTTGAATTAGAAATTTAATTTTATGAAAAAAAGAATAGAATTAAAACGTGTTATTACATAATACAAGAATGAAAACAAAATAATTTCCCACAAGAATAAAATTCTTCTTATGAATACAATAAGCGACGAATTTTATACGAAATAAAAACTTATTGAAAACTCGCAAGGGAGATTTCAAATTATTGCAATTTTTACAAAAGAAAAATGAGAATACTTGATAAATAGAGCAAAAGCATGTAAGTTAATTAAAAAGAAAAGTTTTCTTAACCATAATTTTTTTTTGCAGCACGTCACAACACATACTAACGCAATGATCAATAACCTTGTCGGATTGTCCTTTGTTTGGTGAATTTATTTTCAAAAAAACTCAGCTTTCTCTTCGTTCGATGAGATGACTATACAATCTCCTAATTATTTTTAAAGAGCGTGCAATATTCTACTGTGCTTATGAATGAGTATTGCTGCATTATGATTCTTGCAAAAACTCTAATGAAACTTAATTTAATTGTTATAAATTAGACCGTTAACTTTCTAGAAACAACATTTTTTTTCTACTTCTGTACCAAATAATAATCGAATAATAGTTATAAATAATTAATTAAAATGTCTTATTTAGTTATTATATAAAAACAGAAACAGAAGAACTATAGTTTTACTAAAGGAAAAAGTCGATATATGCCTGTTAAATAATGCTAAATGAGAACTATCAATCTGACATTTTATCTAAGAACTGTATTAGTCGTTATTTAGATATTTTCATACTTTGAATCAATACTGAATAGGCTAGAGATTAAATGTATATTATCGAACGATGAATGAGTTTATACTACATTTCTATCGACTAACGGAAGGAACTACTCGAACTGAAGCGTGCCGTTTGAGCTCATATTGAGCTCACCAGGTGGTCGTGATAAGAACAGAAAAATTCTAAAAGGATTCTTTCCAATATGAGTTTTTGGAGACGAATAATAATCGTTTTAGTGAATTTTTGACTCTGCATCAGATACATACGGAATAATCCAAAAAACGAAAGTCTCCCCATAGATAGATCGAACAATTCATAGGATGTCGTGATAATTTCAGTCAAAAAGAATGATTTTTTTGTCGAGATATTCAATTTTCAAGTAAACTTGATTTTTGTATATTGCCTGTAGTAAACGATGATTTCTTTCGAAATTCAGTACCTCGACAAAAAAACATTCTCTTCTACTGAAACTTTTAGAATATTCTACAGATTATTCGACCTATCAATGGGCAAAGCTTCACATTAAAGTTCTCTTTTTTGATTCTTTCATATGTTTCTAAAACTGTTTATAAAATTCAGTAGAACAATTCTCACTCAGCTCCAAAAACGAATCTTTTTAATCGTTTTCTAATCTTACCAAAACTATCTTGTTGATTTAATACGAGCCCGAATACTAGGTATCAATGTTCGTAGTTCTCTCGTAAGTATTACTTAATCCTTATCTAATCTATCGAAATTTATAAAGGCTTCAATAATTAATTTCATAGATTTAAAGGCTATTTTTAAACTGTATTCAAAAATAAAATCTTTTCATTTAAATACATTGTAGTTAGAAACAAAAACGTTTGTAATATTAAAAAATCGAACTTTCTTTTTTTTATAAAAAGGGTGATGGTATGCTTGGTTTATATACATGTGCAGCTCTTCGTGAACATGGTTTTGAAAGGATTTATTGTTCTGGAACTCGTTTACAACGTTCACCATTTATAGAACATTTTGGTGCTATTCCACTCTATAATGGTAAATATTTGTATTTTTCATTGTTCATTCATGCATATGCTTTTTTCTACACTTCAAACAGAAAATTAAACACATGTATTTCTCTAATTATTCTCTTTTGCTTTCTTTTTTTGTATCTTTTATTTAGGCAGGCAAAGTACGATACAAATACTTTCCGAAAATGATTTGTTATAAGATATTTTGCTTGGGATTTCTTTGTCTTTGCATATATCTTATTTCTTGCTGCATAGAAAATAAAGATGTATTGTGATTCATCATATTTAAACAGAGAGTAAATCTCGTTTTAGCATGTCTTGTTAAAGTCCTGTGCACGTCTATATCTTTTAATTGCCTACAGCTTATTAAACGGAAAAACAAAGTCATTTCATTCATATATTTTTCTAGACGAAATACTTGAAGACGAAACAAACAAGATTGATGTTGTTGTTGAAGTAGGTTTTTATTTCTCTCTCTGTTTTTGTATATATACATAAATTTAAGAATACTTTTTGAAATATTGCAATTAAGTTTTCTGTTTAAATGAATTCTACTCTTGGTATTGTTTATAGGTATGTGGAGTACCAAATGTAGTGAATGATGGTTTACGACTATTGAAACCTGGTGGACTATATCTTTTTGTTGGTATGGTTCATCCACATTCACAATTGAATATTACTGGAGAACAAATTATTCGTAAATGTTTGACTATTAAAGGTACAGAATTGAATAATTTAAATAATAAAGAAATAACTTATCCTTTTTTCTAATTAGGTATTCATAATTATGCTCCACGCCATCTTGATCAAGCTGTTCAATTTCTCGAGAAAACACTTAATAAATATCCTTATGAAAAAGTAATCGGACCAACTTATGATTTATCTGATTTATCATATGCTATGCAAGTCGCTGTTGAAAAACATTATGGTCGAGTCTTAATTAAGCCAAATGTACTAACATCATGATCACAAGGTACAATTAATGATTTAAACGAGTGGAAAACAAAATAAAAACAAAATTTATTTCTTTTTCTATTCTCATTACAAACGCTTATTTTTTATTGTTTTTCTTTTAATTGCTAGGTATTTAATATTAAAGTGATTTATCTTAATTGTTATTTTGATCTTATTTTTTCTGTTATTGTATGTTTGTGACGTAATATTTATTCAATTAAACAATAGATGACTCTTGTTGTTTGTTTATATGCATATTTATGTACGGGACAAAGAAAAATTATAGACGGAACAAGAAAAAAAGAAATTACCGGAATAGAACATTCTCAAAAAATGATCGTTTTTTTAATGTTTTTTCTCATCATCTATTGGTGAATAGGAATAGAATTGTCGTAAGATTTCGACGACTTTTCCCCAATTTTCTTCAGCGATTCGACTTGTTCGTTTGTCATTTAAACAGGTTGTTTCACATTTTTTTGACAAATTTTGACAATAGTCAAGTGGACCAGTTATTACTTGATTCATTTGTGCTAGAAGACAAGCAGCAAATTGTTGTTGACATTTAGCATAACAATAACCTAACGAAATTAAAAAAAAAAGAAAATTTATATTCAATCGAAACAAATAATTCATATTCAACAAAAATAATTTACCGCAAACTTTTTCTTCAAGTGATGGATTTTCATTTTCAAATTCAATCTTACAATCTGGTTGAGAATTTTCATTACGTCGACTCCACCAAACTAAAATTAAACGATACGAAAATAAGAAACATTTTTTATATTGGAATTAACATTATGCAAACAGAATTATATCGATTAACTATATATATCTTTACATTCGACATGATAAAATTTGCTTATATTGTATACAAGAATCAAGACTTACTGTTGCTTCGTGTGGATAAACAATGCATTAGTTGAATAAGTGAAAGCAAAACGATGAGATGTTTAATCATTTTTGAAAATATTCAATGATAATAATTTAAGTACTTTGTTGTCTAAAATAAGCAAAGAATAATTTCTGGTAGAATTTATAAAATAATATCTTGATTATATATAATAAAATACACATAAAATCTGTCATTTGCTATCTCCTTTTTTTTAATCTGTGTCCTCACATTATTGTAAAACATCAGAACAATTGCTATTGATATAACCTCTTCGAAAATAGAGGCTTGTCAAATGAGATGATGCTCATATTTTGAGTATATAAAACTAAGTGAGAGAGAGAAACCGAGAGGCTGACGACAAGAGAAAAAAAGAGACGATAGATTTCTCTTATATATAATTGGAATAAAAGAAAAAGTTTTCTTTTAATGAATCGTTGATATAAAAAGCGTTGATCAATTATATTAAAAAAAAAAAAAAGAGAGAAAACAAAGTGAAAGATAATTCGAATAAAATTTACATTGGTCTGAAAGGCTAAATCAACATAGGAAATGGAATACTTCCAAGACAATCTAAGAATGGGTGTTATCCCTTTCTTTACTTTAATAATAAACATAATCACAAATGCCGTCAATTCAAATATTTTCAATAGATTTATGTACTGTTTTTTAATTAAAATCATCTCATATAATCTTCACTAGATTACGCCTCTACTTGGATGACAAAGGTCAGAATAATATAAATATCTTCTGTTAATATCTTTATTCTAATCCATACACAATAGAAAATCTTAATCAATAACAAATCTTCTTAGTTGTCGCAAAGTATCGAAATGAAAATGAGAAGAAAGTTTTACGCTGCATGGATTAAAGTAAATTGAAATATAAGAATGTACATTTTTGTCGGAATGAATAGATCATGCATTGATAAGATCAGTATTAACTATATTTTATAGAATATTACTTGAACGGGGGATGAAGCAATATTGCATATATACATAATTGATATTGCCAATAACATTCTCAAGCATCTTCGATTATGAAAAATCCAAAATAATGGATGGAATTGCTCTTGTTTTATTTTTAATTACCTTTGTTTTTATGTTTTGCTATATATTTTATTTTTTTAACATTCATATCGAGAAAAAACGATGTAAGAATCTGAAGAAATATTGATTATAAGTTAATTTGTTGTTAAAATAAAACAAAATTTTATCATGTTCATCTAGGTCTGTATTATCTAAATACAATTGATTAATACTATTAAAAGATTCATTGATGATTTAGGCAAACAGTCTCAATTTTGTTCCCGGAAGTGTGCTTGATAAGGTCAAGTGTTCCTTATGACTTGTGGACGCAATTACTATGGGTCATGGATAGTTTTTTTTTAAAAGTTTGCCAGTTATTGTTGAATGATAAATATTGTTATTTTTGAATGATTATGTAAACTTAAAATAGACAACGATAAACTGATCATTAAGACCTATTCGTGACTGAAACTCAAATAAATGTATTGTTTAATAATAAGAAAACACTCAAAAAAAGAGTGACTAATTCCTTGTTCTTGATATTAATTGAAGCAATTATATTTGGGTGATAGGGTTTTAAAAAAAACAACCAGGTAAAGAGAGGCACCTTGGTAACATAAAAATTACTTTTAATGATTTTTTTCTATTAATAGACTCTGTATTAGCAAAAAAACTTGAGCACCAACATCATAATCCAGTTTAATTGTAATGACCACTTTATTTTAAACGAAGACAAATACTACGAAGATCATTAATACATACTGTTACAATAAAGTGAAATATGAATATGGTAACACTGATTGGATGCTTACGACACAAACAAAAGCCGTTTACAGGAAAGAATTATTTCTTCTTCTCGCTAATTTAGTGTTGTTTTTAAAAATAAAACACTTTTTAAGTTAAGCGTTACTGACCCAAAATTTCAAATTTGAGGAGAGGGAAGTGTAAAAATATCGCTCGAGGTAGTGCATGCTTAAAATAACAACATGTTTCTAGTTGTTTGTTCGGTGTATTTATCAACGTCGGCAACGTGTTTCTATTAATATTATAGAATAAGAAAAGCACGTTGAAAAAAGAAGAGAATTGTACCCCTGAGACGTAGTAATGAAAAGTAATGGACAATCAGAAGACAGATGCGTACAAGTACTCCAAACTAATCAGGATTAAGAGACAGAACGACATTTTGTTCATACACAGTTAATATCATCGTTTTTCGCTTATATGTTTCAAAGAGTTTTTTTCTTTAGTTCTGAAAACATTTTACAGAATGAAAAGAACTTAATTTTACCTTTCAGTATATAAAAAAGAAAATTAATTTCATATCAAATTCAACAAAGTTTCTCAATATTTCAATCAGTGACGTCATTCGCGACAACGACTATTACGCAAAACCATACTGTTCTAGAAAGCACAATGGATTGAAATTTGCCAGAATTAAGTTTAAGCCTATTACAACTGACACTATTGCATGAACAGGAATCATCGGCTAGTTAATTAAGTATTGTCTTGTCTTGTGTTTTTTTTTTTAAAAAACAAAAAAAACTAAAGTATCGTCGAATATATGTTATGATGTTTCTTAAGATTCTTGCTGTCCAAGTAACTGCACTTGTGATAATTGTTCTACAACGAAGGTCTTTTGATATGCAAGATATTACAACACGTCTCCAGGGATTAAAATTGAAGACTTTTAAGGTTAGCTATCATTGTATAGTCGTTACTTGAAGCAACATGTTTTTGGTTTTACCTTATAGCTTGCTCAAGAAAAACATTACTTAATTCTGTGTTACCGGAAAAAGTTTGCAAACTCCAATTGCGTGCTTGTTTTGAATCTTTTCACTGGTTAAAATAACACAAAAACTCAAATTTACGGAATGTGCGGAAGAAATCGCTACACTCGCGACTGCCTCACCCGTTCTGACGACTGCTAAGTCCGGGAACAAGAGTTTCATTGAATATTATCTAATAAAAGATGTTAGAGGAAAAACATTCATAGAAGTGCTAGTTTTTAAATAATAAGAAAATCAGAAATACTTCAGATTACTTAAATATATTCTAAAGCACATTTCATTTCTAATGTTTCTCAATTATCATTGTTGTTTCTTCTCATTGGTGATAAAACATTTTGAATCTAGAGTAGTCTAGATAATCTTTATAGGATCTCCAACGGAAAGTGTTAAGAATAGGGAGGAGGATGTCGAGTCTTTTTATGTCATTCAGATGAAATACAATTAGTGCTTCTTATTTCTAACTTGCGTTTTGGATTGTATAAAGTTGGTACGGTTCAGAAAAAAATCACAACTTATCTCAAAAGACGTACATTTAAAGAAAAACGCCAACATTTGTTTTTATTTTAATCTTGACTATTGAAAGAAGAGTTTTCAGTCTACTTTACTGAAAAACAAAATAATGGTGAAACAGTAATATTCACAAAAGGAATTCCATTGCGAATTTTGTCACTTTGTTAAAAATGTTTCTTAGGCATCTAAGCTTAGCCATTCAAAGTAAAGAAAAGTTTCAGCAGCTATTAATTTATCTAACTCGAGTTTTCAATACAATTCTTCTTTGTTTATAACAAAAGGAATAATACCTCAAATCATTGACAACGTAGGATCCAGCGTTTACTCATAAGAAGTTCAATGTTTCCTCAAGCATGTTTCTAGGTTTGCTTCACTTCGAAAATATTACTATTTGCGACTGAAGATGATGGAAACTGTTGATGTTTATATAAGAATTTTGATGCGCTGCATAAATTTATCAACATAATGAAACGAGAAACAAATGTTTGAGCCTAACCCTAGCCTACAATACTTGAATCCACCCATAGAATTAAAACATGAAAAAAAATCATGAGTTTCACATAGATTTTACATAAAAAATATGGAAAAAACAAAACATTTCGGGTGATGAAACGGACATACGGACATAGAAATTGATCTATTTCAATTTCATGGATTAAAATAAATATTTTAATCAACCAGATAGAATGACAATGATTTTTTATCAAAATCATGAAAATATATTGATGAAAATATTCATTTTAAACAATGAATTTCAGGCACACCAATTTTGATGTCAGATTCATCATTTTAATACAGTTTTTTTATTTTTCAAGTCCTTGAGTAGGGTAGACTTTATCCTACCCATGCCTTGTGGCTTCACCTCCTATGTTACATTAATCTAAGATGTAATGGATAAATCAGATGTCGCCATGCATCAATACGGAAAATAAAAAAAAAACAGTAAACATTATATTCAAAAAGGCAAATAATAGTTTCCTACTAGTTCACCAACGAACCAATCGTTAAGAAATCTTTACATCAAAACAAAGAATGTAATGTAATTTTATTAACTATCACAAAATCGAAACTTTCTCAATTATCATTCATGCTTGATCTTCTTTGCAATTAGAAATCTATTTTTTATTTTTTAGATTGTCAATATCGTCTTCATCAAAAATGGCTGACACTGTAAAAATATAAAACTTCTCTTTTAACTTCTATTATAATTATTCGTTTTTTTTGTAGACTAATGCAGAAAAACCAATATCAGTGCATTCACTTGTGTTTCGTTCACTTAAACGAACACATGATTTATTTCTTGCTAATCAAAATACACCTGTATTACCTGATGAAACGGCGTATGTACTAGCAAAATGTTTATCTTTTGTTTTTTTTTAATAATTATTTTGATTTTAATAATAGAGATAGTATATCAAGAAAAATTAAAGCTAAAGACCAATATGGTACTGTACTTACTTTACCAAAAGGTATGAAACCACATGTAAAAAGTGTAGTAGAAACAAATGAAACAACAACTGAAACCACAAGTATGTTTCATTTTCTCAACTAAATTCTTCTAGTTATTTTGTTTTTTTCATATTTAGATGATGGTAAGAATAGTAACATTTCTTTTTTGTTTTTATGAACATTATCATAATTATTAATTTATAGATACAGCTCATAATACAAATGAAACAGTGAATGAACCTCTTCCCACGTAAATTAAAAAATTATGTTTAACTTTTTATTTTCATGTAATTCTATATATGTTTTTTAGTACAACGACAAATACTGATGTGTCATCAACAACACCAATGAGCACTGTATGATTTTATTTGATTAAAATAATAATTTAATTTCGGTTTGTCTTTCTTTTTTCTATAGGCACTTGTTTTGGCAAATAAACCACAGCAATCATCGAATCAATTACAAGCACTTGTTTCGAAGAAACCAGCATCAGTTATGCCTAAGCCACAATGGCATGCTCCATGGAAATTAATGCGAGTAAGTTAAAAGAAAAAAAACAAATTATCTGTATTATAATGATGTGCATTTTTAGGTGATTAGTGGACATTTAGGTTGGGTACGTTGTGTTGATGTTGAGCCTGCTAATGAATGGTTTGTTACTGGTGCAGCTGATCGCGTGATTAAAGTATTTAATGACGAGTGTTTTTTTTTGAAAAATGTGATCGAAAATTCTTTTTTAATTTAGATATGGGATTTAGCTAGTGGTACACTTAAATTATCACTCACTGGTCATGTATCTACTGTGCGTGGTGTTGCTGTTAGTACTCGACAACCTTATTTATTTTCTTGTAGTGAAGATAAACAAGTTAAATGTTGGGATCTTGAATGCAATAAAGTAATTTTAAATATCACAAAAAAAAAGATTACTTCCATTATTATGTTTAATTTTAGGTTATTCGTCATTATCATGGACATTTAAGTGCTGTTTATGCACTTTCACTTCATCCAACACTTGATATTCTTGTTAGTTGTGGTCGAGATTCTGTAGCACGAGTATGTTTTCTATGATTTTTATGTAAATTCAATAATGAATTTAAGCATCTAGGTATGGGATATGCGTACGAAAGCTCAAATACATTGTTTAACAGGACATACAAATACGGTAGCCGATGTTAAAACACAAGCAGCAGATCCAGAAGTAAAATTTTGTTTTGTTTCTTTTCGATAATAACAAGTGACTCATAAAGAATTATACTGATAGTTTTCTCGTATATTTTCTTTTTCATTGAAATACTTTTCTTACCAGAAGATAGTTCTTGAAATTCTGTACAAAATGATATAACGAATACAGTTGCCTTCAATGTTTTTTGATTGAACATAATCGTACAGAATGTTAGTTTTTTCTTTTTCAAGTTTTCTGACTGAGCATTTTATTTCGTCTATCAATTTTTGTTTATGTTGTTATGTGATCTAAATGCATAGCTTCCACCAGTTGATTCCGTAAACTGTAATCTAGTGAACACCAATCACGTGAATTCGACGATCAATAGTTCTTCGGGATGAATGTAGGAAAATGATTAACACATCATTTTTGGCTCAGGCGACGCGTGTTGATAAGTTCAGTTGTCTCCTAATATTTTCTTACTGGATTTTAGATCTACTAGAAGAACATTATTGATGTATTTTTCTGCATCCAATGTTCTACCTTTCACACTCATAGACACTGTCAGCCCTTGTGTACATACATCTAATCACACAATCATTTTCACCGAGAATCTTCTTTTTTACATGAATAACACCTTTCTTATCAGTCTCTTCTCTGTTCACGACCAGAATCCCGTCGTTCTGAGCAATAAAATGGTGAGCCAAAAAACTTTAAAAACTAACTTTCTGTACGATTACGTTTAATCTAAAAAAAAACGGAGGAAACGATGTTCGCTAAATAAATTATATCATTTTGTGCCGAATTTCAAGCATTGTCTTTTGATAAGAAAAAGCTGCTTCAATCAAAGGAATAATAATAGAGAAACATATCAAAAATACTAATAGTATAATTCTTTATGAACCATTCGTCATATTAATTTAATTCTTGATTTAGGTCGTTACTGGTAGTCATGATAGTACAATACGTTTTTGGGATCTTATTGCTGGACGAACTTATTGTACCTTAACACATCACAAGAAAAGTGTTCGTTCACTTGCTATTCATCCGAAATGGTAAAATCAATAGAAAATAACAAAAATTTATTGTTTATGTATTTAAAAATTTAGGCATACAATGGCATCAGCTTCACCGGATAATATCAAAGAATGGAAATTTCCAAAAGGAGAATTTATTCAAAACTTAAGTGGTCATAATGCCATTGTTAATTCATTGGCTGCTAATGCTGATAATGTACTTGTGTCAGGTGGTAAGTTTATCATCATTTTTCTTTCTGTTTTCTTTTCACTATTAAGTCATTCTTTTATAGCGGATAATGGTTCATTATATTTTTGGGATTGGAAAACTGGTTATAATTTTCAACGTCTCCAAACGATTCCACAACCAGGTTCAATCGATCCTGAAATGGGTATTTATGCAATGACATTTGATCAAAGTGGTAGTCGATTAATTACATGTGAAGCTGATAAAACAATTAAAATCTATAAAGAAGATGAGACAGCGGTAAATATAACTGAAATAGTTTTCATTTTATTTTAACTGTCATGGTGTTGTTTTTAGACTGAACAAACTCATCCTGTTGATTGGGCACCGAATATATTCAAACGAAAAAGATATTAACGTTTTTTGTTTTTTTTGTTGTTGTTGTTTATCATTTCTCTTTGTGTGTGTACAGTTTCTTGACGATCAAGAAAGAAAAAATATATGATTCATATCATTATTCATTATCTTCTTTAGATTATGATTACTTCGAAAATAGTCAATTTACTTACGAGATCTTCTGATGTAAGTTTAAAAATTCTGTTCAGAATATGTTTACGTTCAAGTAGAGCTCGTTGGGTTTAACATTTTCGGGCCTGTTCAAGTCATACTTTGATACTCTCAATCAAGTTTTCTAGTCGACATTGGATAGTCGTTCTGAATATACGAGATATTTTTTTCGGTCCTTTGTATTCGGTGGCTAGCGCACCCTATACATTTTTCAGACGACTGGAGCCTGCCGGGTTCAAGATTTGTGGATCTGGATCCGGTTAGCAGAATATTTTTAGATTTTAACTCGACTGGCCTCGGGACCAATCCAACGAGCTCCACATTCGAGTCAACTTTAAAATAGAGAAGATATCCGATTCTTTTTTGTTTTTTTTTTTTCTATGGTTCTCAATATGTTAATGAGTATAATTGTCAATTTTCTATAGGTATTATCAATTCGATATCTTTCTTTGTCAGCCATAAACAATGCTCGAGAACGTTCGTATCGTGTAGCTGACAAGAAAGGTTTTCATAATCGTGAAGATGTTAATTATGATATACCTAAACAAGGAAAACAAACAAATTTTCGTCATCGCTTTCGTTATACAGCATTAGAAGAAGTTAAAATGGAACAAGGTAGTCAACGATCATTAATCGAACCAATGATTGATCGAACGACACCACCACATAAATTTCACGTTGTTACGAAAATACGATCAACATATGGTGAAATTGTTTATGTTAAAGAAGCGCTTGCAAAGCTTGGTTTCATTAGTTACGGCCGAAAGGTAAACATATCGTTGTATTTTTATATTTGATGTTATTGATTCGTTTAGCAATGGGATATATTAACAGTGATCGTTAAAAATGTACCATCAGTAAATAAACATCTATATGTATGCAAACATATGGTACAGATAAAACCATTAGTTTTTATTGATGGCGTACCATCCTTAGATGATATTGGTTCGACAAAACTATTTCCACATAATGGACATTTAACTATAGGAGATCATTTTGATCTAAAACAAATGAATATTTCAATAGATGATAATGAAAAATGGCCAGTAAATATGAATCATATTGTTGCTCGTTTACATGCCGATCGAACTGCAAATCGTCTTCATGCAGAATATTTTCCAACAAAATATAATTGGTTTTTTGGTCAAGATATACCTGGTGTTAAAATAATACAACCAGTCAATCCTGAGACTAAAGATACACATTTAGAGGATCTGTAATTAGTAAACAAAAAACAAATTTTTTGATTTTGAGAGATAAAAGAATGTTATTGTTTGTTGATTTTTTTTAGAATACAAATAAAGATATTTGTTTCATTGATTTGTAATGAGCAAAGAAAAACAAGTTTTTTTTTAATTATGACATTAAAAATAAATCTCTTTTAGATAGTGTGATGCTCGACTGGACATATGCAGGTATTAATTTTTCGGCTAAAACTACCGAACCATGGGCTGATGATGGAGGTATTGAATGTGCAGCGCATTCAACATTACGTCAACGTCTATTTGAGACAATTCTTACAGTAATTGTTGCTTCATGGGAAATTTATTATGCAACTTATCATGCAAAAAATCAATTAGGAACATCATTTCCTCGAGAATATGCACGAGAACGTCAAGGACGACCAAGTATCTTAAGACGTCTAGTACTTGTATGTTACGCTCTTTTATGGGGCATAGAAATAGGTTTTAAATTAGCATCACGACAATTTATTTATATACTTAATCCATGTCATATCGTTACTTTGATACAAGTAAATAAAAATACTCCTTATTTTTTATTACTATCTTATAAACAATAGTAGCGAAACGGGATGGAAAGGCGTACTATTTCTTGTCTTGGGGCAGTTTCGCTGAAGCTTTTTCCGATTTTCTAAAAATTTGCTGATCATTTCCCAAGCCATTTAACAATGACTTGGGAAATTTGATTCATTTTTGCCGTTAATTCACTGTGTTTTGGGACCTTTTCAGTTTTTTTTGATAAAAGAGTTTGTTGTTAATCATTCAACTTTGTCAATCAATCACGTAAACTCTGTGGCCTTCAGCAACGATGATTAAATTTTGGAAAATACTGTTAAAAGGATTAGCTATCACAAATATGCAATTGATTATGAATCATCTATAATGATTAAATCTATAAAAACATTTAAAAATTTTGCTACTTAAAACATCCAAAACATGAATCAATTTCTGAATTAAACGCGAAAAAAAACTGTTCCTTATACAAAATACTAAGAAAAAGTAGAATTTTCTAGGACCCTGTAACAATTTTCGCTAAACGGCAAATCATGTTAACCCTTTCTTGCCCTATGGTTGCTATAGCAGCCACTCAATAAAAATTTCCTTCTCTTAACCTATGAAACATTTAGACACAGATTTTATATGAACTTATAGCCTATCTATTGTAGACGTCGAATCGGCAATCTGAATTTAATGTTTGTCATAAAAATAATTTTTTGGATGTGGGTATCTGTGTGTATAATTCGGTTGAGTGGATTAGCGAGTATTATATTCAATCGTACCCACAGCATACGACATGAGCGTGGTGTTTATGCATTTGCATGAATAATGTTATCACACACGATTTGTTGAAAATTTCAGAATTTTCTTTTTTTCAAATAAAAAAGAATAACGACTGCAATACGTATTTAGTTTATTGGGACTTGGCAAATTCGGCTCAAGCTTTTTTTGTGTATATTAGGAGTCATAAGGTTGATGCTATTGAGCGAATTATCCTTCCGAACCATCAGATTCAGCTAAAGCTAGGAAAAGTTTAAGTTCTGATTGAATTTACGTGTAGCTGTTGAAGTTCAACTATTAGATGACAGACGTTTGAAAACAATAAGACTTTTTACTATTCACAAATCTTGACACTGATCTCGATGTCATATAAAGCTTTGTGTCTCAACATCCTTCGGATTGGATTGTACCTATCTCTAATATACTGAACTACTTCTTCTTCTTCCGACGTCTCCACGTCGTTCCTATCGATGAAAATGAAATAAAAAGATACTTCTTTAAATATATATTAATTCATCATTCGTATATTTCCAAATTTCGTTCGATCTGATTTTTATACATTAAGTACTTTAGTATGAATATTTGGTAGAGACATATAATTGAACAGAGCTAATTTTTGAGAAAAATAATTTGTTTGGTTTCTTTTTATTTAGATTATACTTCTAACTTTCTCATCGAATTATTATACACGTGGACTATTTCGTTTACATACTGGCATGTTAAATGGTGGTACACTTGCAATTTATTTTCCAGTGACATCAACGAGACTTTTTCCATTTGAAGTTGAACTTTATTATATTCAACATATTCTTATTTTAGTTGTTCCAGTTTTTCTTCTTTCATCTCATGGTTCATATACTTGGATAGATAAAATAAATTTCATAATTTTGTTTTTTCTCTTTTCTTCATTTTTTAGGAGGTTATAGCCTTGAACCAGTTGGATCTTTTCGTTGGACAATTTTAGCTATTGCTACATTTCGTTTTTATCACTATTTTGTATTACAACCAATATCTTTAGTATGTTGTTTTCAAATTATTCATTCGATTTGATTCTTATTTGTCTAGTTAACTTGGGTAAATCTTAATGGTGTTCTATGTCCATTTCAATTTGATCCATTTATTGGTCGATATTATCGTTTATGGGCTCATATACATCAAACATTATTTATGATAATTCATCATAAATTATTTTCTGTTGTAGCTCGTACTTGTATTCAATTTGATATACGACGTATTATGTATTATATAAAACGACAACAACAAATGACTACTAGTGATATTTCTAAAGACAAGTAATTTATTGCAATAATTTATAAATTATTAACTGTTTTTTTATTTATATAAGCTCTAGTCTAATATAATGTTTATTTTTTTTGTATCGTAAATGTAGTATGTTTTTGTTTTTCTTGTTTTCTTTTCAAAACAGTGATCTACATGTGCATATTAAACAATTAAACGAGCAAGTTCTTTTTTATTAACTTTGCCCATTGCATTTCGAGGTATATGATCAAGAATAGTTATAGAATCTGGTAAAGAATAATTTGGTAAATATTGTTTACAATATTGACGTATTGTATCGATTGTTAAATCAGTTATATTATTTAATGATTTTGGTACAATAATAGCAACTATTTTTTGACCAAATGTCGGATCATCAATACCAATAACTGAACATTCCAAAATATCTTTATGTTCTAATAAAATACGTTCAATATCTAATGCTGATATTTTATAACCAGCACGTTTAATTATATCCATTGATTGTCTACCACGAATTGAAAAAACATTTTTTTCTGGATCATAACGACAAATATCACCGGTTTTAAAAAAACTACCATCTGTTGTAAATGTAGCATGAGTTTCATTACGTTTTCGCCAATATTCTTTAAATAAAGTTGGACTTTGAATTAGAAGTTCACCTTCTATTGGTTCATCTGTAGCTTTAAAAAAGAAACATTGAGAAATACTGAAGTTTTTCAATAGAACAAAAAATTTTCAAACATACTTTTTATTTCTACTTTTGTATTATTAGTATCAGCTTCTAATAATGTTTCATAACCCATTGGTGATGCTGTATTTTCTCGTCCAATTCGAATAACAACACCAGGCATCGGTCGACCAACAGTGCCTAATTATAATTAAAACAGTAATTATGCACATTTGACGAAAAATCAAAACTCGCATAGAACAAAATTCGAAAATAAAAAGGATGATAACAACAAAATACACTGAATTGATTATGAGTAGCATAGAAGTTTTTAGTATATAACGAGGGAAGTCTTCGAACTGATAAATCGCTTTTGAGCCAATACTATGTTTATTATGTAGATCCAATTGAGCTATGAATATCTTGAAAAGGGTTCGTGCTCTTAGCTTATTACTGCAAAGATACTGCAGTTTTACGGTTTTTTTAAATATGAATGCCGTAGTCTCCCGCAGGAACATCAGACAAACTGCTTTTCCAATTTGGACTTGAAACTTTGCATACAGAACGGCCTTAACGAAAATAGTTTTTTGTGAATATTCCAGATCTTGTCGCTGTTATTGTCTTAAGATACAAGTATGATAAGTGTGCCTTTTACATCAATCATACAAAGCCGACATATCTGATATTTTCATAATAAACTACTCTCGATATGACCTGTCTAAGTGCAAAGTTTCAAGTCGAAATTCGAAAATAAGTTCTGCTGGTGTTTCTGAGGAAACTACGGCATTGACTTTAAAAATTACCGTAAAATATCAGTATCTCTGCAGTGATAAGTCTAGATTAGAAACTCTTTTCAAAGTATCTAGAGTTCATTTTGACCTACATAATACATATAATCTAGACTCAAAAACGACTAAACAGTTCAAGGACTTTTCTCATAAATCATATTCTCTACTTATTCTTTGTAACTATAAATCAAACCTGGAATTCTTTCTCCATTTAATGGATTTGTTAATGCCATTCCACATTCTGTCATTCCATAACGCTCAAGAAGACTATGACCAGTTATTTCAGACCATCGCCGATGAATACTTTCGGGTAATGCAGCTGAACCGCACATCATTAAACGAATCATTTGTGAACATTGTTCACGAACGAAATCTCTTGTTTGAGGACGTGATGCTAATTTAGCATCATAATCATGAATAAGTTTTGAATAAATGGTAGGTACAGCTGTGAAAACTGTTACATGTTGTTCAAAACCAGGTTGAACTAAATATTCCCATGCCTAAATAAATAGGAATATTTTGAAAAAATTGTACAAATAAAAATAATATATTTTTTCTTAAATAACCTTAGAGGCATCAAAATGTGGAAGCATGATAATTGTAGCACCAACAAAAAGTGGGGTTAATAGTGCATTTATAAGACCATGAACATGATGAAGTGGTAAAACATGTAATATAACTAAATATCACTAATAAAATAAGTTTATTAAAGAATAAATTTTACCATCATCTTTGGTCCATCCCCATGCTTTTACCATTGAATCCACATGTGCTTGAACAGCATCAAATGTTAATACACATCCTTTTGGTCTACCACTTGTTCCACTTGTATATATAATTAAAGCATTTGATCGTTCAGTACGATCAATTGTTGTTGATAATAAAAGATCGTCATTAATATCATCATATGTAACTGTTGTTGATAAATTTTTTTTATTGATATTTATAATAGATATATCAATTTGTGAATTGTTTTCTAATGTTGTTTTTATTAATTCATGACTACGATCATCACCGACAATGACTCCTCGACATTGCGCATCATTAAGAAAATAAGCAAGTGATGACGGTGGATGTTGCAATGACAAAGGGACTACAGTTGCACCAACCATCCATGAAGCCCACATAGCAATAATAAATGAAGCATCATTCGGACATAAAATACCAAGTTGCACATTACGCTTATCAAGTCCATCATCAGTTAGTTTCTGCTGTTGTTGTTGACAAAGTGGTACAAGACGACGAGAAAGTTTACGTGAAGACGAATAAAGTTGACCATAAGTATATGAAGATGAATGATCAACTAATGCTACTTGATTTGCAAGTCGAGAAACCGATTCATAGTAAATAGGACGTGATGTAGATGATAAACGAAATGAAGGTTTTATATGAAAAATACATTTACGTAATGAAAGAAGAACAAAACGAGAATAAATCATCTGTAAAAGACAAAATCGTTTTTAAGGTAAAAATCTATACTGTTTATTTAGGCTTTCTTTGAATGATACCTTTGATGAACATATTTAAATGTCTAGTCTTTACAGAATGTTCAATGAAAATGATTCCATGAGATTATTTTGAATAAGTCATATATATAATTATTTGTCTAATGAAGGATATTTCCATTTTGCTTGCTGGTCATGAACACATTTAAATAGTAGCCACATACTAGCTTATTTGTTGCTAAAGACTGTCTCTTTTCTTTCAATTATCGTTGGCAATCATCTTGCTAACGTATGATAGCAAGGCAATTGACAAAAATAGATGAAAGAAAAAAGGCAACCGTTACCAGCCAATAAATTAGTATAGGGCTACTGTTTATGCATGGTCATGGCTGAAAAACAAATGGAAAATATCACTCATTAAAAAATACCTGATTCTTATTCATAAAAATCCTATCGATAAAAACTTGTGACTTGCTTTACTTACAAGAGTAAAATTACTATTGATTTATGTAATAAAAAAATATGCAATGAATTCTTAGTTTATCTTTTTATTCTAAAGAAGGACAAAATAAAATAAGATTAAGAAGATAAATTAAAATCTATTAAATAACAGCAACAAATTAATTGAAGTCATACGATAATCATAAGTAAATAAATTGATTTATTTTTTGTTGCTAGATGATGGTGGGAAAAGTTTCGCATTTAATTCTTTTTTATTTACTTTTCCAACAGCATTTCGTTCAAGTTTATCAACAATTTTTAATTGTGTTGGACATTGATAAGCAGGTAATTTCTTTTTACAATAATCACGTAATTGTTCAAGTGTTAAATCTTCTTCTTTTTTGCCTGATTGAAGTACAACAACAGCTGTAACACGTTCTCCCCATTCTAAATCTTTCACACCAATAACTACACATTCACTAACAAATGGATGACGGAGAATAACTGCTTCAATATCTAATGCTGATATTTTATAACCGCCAGACTTTATAATATCAACAGATGATCGACCAAGTATACGAAATGTATTATTGTTTTTATCATACTCAGCCATGTCTCCTAAAATAATATTAAAGAAAAGTCGAATTTCTCATTCTTCAAATTAATTATTTGAGTCGGTAGTTTTCGATGCGGTCTCATTCGATGATCCCTCACTTGAGTTCGTTCTCATCTCGATCATGATTAGTTATTTAAAGAACTCCTTCTTGAATGATCGCGTTGATCAAGTAGAACTTATGTTATAATCAAGCTAAAGGGGGCTCCATTTTTCCTCATGTTTAAATCAAATTTTTTTTTATTTTTGGTCTTTCATCGCTAATATAACTGTGATTTGTTCTCTGTTAAATGTCATATAAAATAAGGGCTCTTTGTTGCTAGTTAATACGTTTATTAAATCCAACTCTCGAAATCCATAGCAGAAAAACTCGCGCTGCAATTATTCTTTGCATGCGAAATTCTTCTATTAATAATTTCTAAATATGTTCAAAGCATGGATTATGAATTTCTAACATCGCTGAACACGACCAGTCTTCAATCACTTTAGTGGGAACCAAAAAGGCCTGATACGTACAGGGAAATTTGCTTTTCGTGTTTCTCAAAATCAATTTTTACACAAAAGCACTGCAGAATCTCGTCAGTTTCCGCTACAGAGTACATTTAATCGAAATTATATTTTTTTATAGATATTAGACACTGATTGGATATCTACTTTATTGTTGTTTTGAAAAATATTATACCGTTGATTTTTACGAGATTTTACAAAAAAAAGTGCGAATAATAAAACAACATATATTTTGGGAGGTACTTTCAGTATTTTGATCTTTTTATTCGAATGGAAGGAGATAAAAAGAAACCAAAAAAGTAGGTACCTTCCTTAACCAGTGTCTAGGATCTGCAAAAAAAATTTCAGTTCGATCGAACTTATAGCGGCTAAAAAAGCAAGGCAATTTTTAGTCTTTGTGATCCAGATATTTCCGAGAAGGAATTATTTGAAAATTTGGAGTCTATGGTAACTTTTGCTCTACTTATTGAGATCTATCTGCCTTGAAACCTTCAAATAGTACTAAAAAGACGTTCTTCAGAAATCGCGAAAAGCGAGAGTTCTCTTAAGCTAAGTGACATGTCAGCAATCATCGTTAAGATACACATATTGAATGCGAAAGACGAATAACAAGTAAAATGCAATTGACAACTACACATTGTAATGCATTTTTACTTAATTATCAAGATGCATAATTAGCAATTCAATGTGGTAAAGTCTGAAAAACAAAATTTGTGAAGAAGTAAAAACAAACAACTAAATTTCTTTTCATAATATATATATAAAATGCCTGGGCATTATAAATATTCATAACGTTTGTATTTACTTGTTATCCTTTATTATAGAAGTTAATTATCTACTATATTTAATATAAGTATAAATCATTGTAGTCGATAACATTAGGACTGAATTAAGAAATCATCGAATGGAATCGCTTTGTGGAAAAACAAGATAATTATGTTTTAATGTTTTCTTTTTAAACTAATTACAAAATAAACTTTTTCCTAGAATTTATCAACAAAGAACACGATATTTACCCATCATATAGTATCCATGAGAATCAAATGCTTTTCGCGTAGCTTCTTCTTTATTGAAATAATATTTGAATATTGTAGGACCTTTAACATATACTTCACCTTCCACTTTTCCATCATGTTCTATATAAATAATGAAGAGAATTTTCTATCAAATCATAAATCTCTTGTCTACGAACCTTGTTGAAAAATGTTCACTTTATCATAAGTACCTTCAGCTACAATTTGATCATTATTATTTTCATCTTTTTGTACTAAACGTACTTTTAAATCAGGCATTGGGAGACCAACTCGACCTAAGATATTTTTAATATTTTGTCATATGTTAATGTAAGAAGTTTTTTTTCTACCAGCTATTTTTTTTCCTTCAAGTTTATTTGATAGAACACGTCCTGTTTCTGATGAACCGAATTGTTCAACAATTTCAAAGCCTGTTAATTCATGCCATTTTTGAAATATCGATTCTGGTAAAGCTGATGAGCCAGAAAGAAAAAGTCTATGATTAAAAAACAGCCAAGAAAACTCTTTTAACAGCATCAAAGTTTTGTTTTTTATACCGTATGTGATCTGAACATAATTTTTTCACATCTTTTATTGACAAGGTTTTAATATGTTCCATTAATTTTATATAAATTGTTGGTACAGCTGAAAAAACATTAACTGATGGATTACGATCATTGAGTAGATGATCCCATGTCTTAAAAAAGAAAAACATTTTGTTAATTATAATAATAAACTTTATTATTTTTAATACCTGTTCCACATCAAATTTATTCATCATGACAACTGTTCCACCAGCATAAAGTGGTGACATAACACAATTTATCATTCCATGAACATGATGAAGTGGAAGAACATTTAATACTGTATCATTTTTTGTTAAACGCCAAGCTGAAAGCATTGCATCCATTTGTGCGCGTAATGTAGCTATTGTATGAACAACACCCTAACTATTTTCATATGTATTTTATGAAAAAACAACAATGAAAATTACTTTTGGTTTGCCTGTTGTTCCAGATGTATATAAGATAAGAGCATCATCGGAATTTTTCGAAAAAATATCAAATTGTTCTTGATTAGTTAATGGAATATTTTGTTTTGTTTTACCTAGTTCAATATCTTTATTTGTAATAATAATTAATGGTATTTTAAATTTATCAGCAAGTGGTCGAAGTAATTGTTCATATTCAGGTGATACAATTAAGTGTGAACATTTAGCATCATCAATATAATAATCAAGTAATGATTGTGGATGATCTTTACAAAGTGGAATACATATTGCGCGTGAAAGCCAACATGCCCATTGAGCAACAACAAATGATGCATCTGGATTGCAAAGAAAAGCAATACGTTTGTGAGCAGATTTTTGTTTATCATCAGTTAGAGAAAGAAGTTTATCATGTAACTGAACACTAGCTGAAAGAAGATGTGAATATGAATATCGACCATTGGAATCAATGACGGCAATTTTATTAGGATTATCAAGTGCTGAACGATAAACAGTTCGACAAGATAATGACAAGAGATTTCTTTGATTGAAAAGACGAAGTAAAGGTTGTCGTAACATTAAAGAATATTTTAAAGAATAAAATTAAAACACAAAAAACTAAAGTGTTCCTAATGAATATCTGAAACAGAGTACAATTTTAATCTTTTTATTGATCAAAGTAAATATAGGAACATTTCTAAATAAATTTGATTATGGTCGATTAAATTTGTAGAATTTTTAGCCGGTTCCTAAATAAATATGAATCGACTATATTTAATTTATATTCATTATTCACTATTTTTTGTAACAGAGGTCACATAAAGATAATTTTTGATAACCAAAATCTTTATACTTTAGTATATTTTGAATAAATTTTCACAAACCTTTTTATTGGTTATTTCTTCTGATCCAATCCTAGTGTTGATACACACAGTAGGCGGGTGCAGTAGATGGATGAGTAAAAATAAAAACAAAAATTATGGCATTTCATTGTATTTTTATATTTCGTGTGTCGAATAAATACGTATGTCCTAGGCAAAATTAAATTTGGACTGAAATTGTTTTTAATTAGCCCCAAAACTACGAAATGATTTTATTTCATTTCAAAATAAATTCAAATTTTCGTTTGCATTAAAAAGATATGGCACCTGCTTGCTTTTTAGCCAGACAAAGTAGTTATTTTCACTAAAGTTCATTTTAGAGTTAGATGGACGCGAACATCTTTTTGAAGAACTTTTGATCGGCTAAGGCTATCGAGCTCGGGGTTTCAGCATTTGGAAAGAGCACATGCCGAAGCGTCTACCAGTGTAACACTCACTACGGTCAAAGATATTTTCCAAAACTATTTGTGTATCGATATGTTTTTTGCTTCATATTTTGGTAGGATAGCATTTACCCCAAATTGGTTACTGCAAATCAATCCTGAAAACAAATTCCCATTTGAGGATTTTGATTTAGGAATTTTTTCATTTGGGGATTTTTTTTACCATAAAATATATCATACATTCTGCAGTTCAATACCATTCTTTTTCTCATTCTAGACCGTATTAACAAAAATAAAACTTTCGAAGTCATATCTATTGGAGGTATTTAGTTCAGTTTCATTAAACATAATAAAAACAGTTTTACGATAAATCTAGTGACCAGAATGTATTTTGGGCTACTACAAAGTCTGCCTTTTGACAATCCAAAATTTATTCTCGTCACCAGATGTACCTGAAACTTGTTTGTTGTAGTAACCCAAAATGTATTCTGGTCACTAGATTCATCGTAAAACTGTTTTCATTATGTTTAGTGAATCCAAACTAAATACCTCCAACAGATATGACTTGAAAAGTTTTATTTTTTGTTAATACGATCTGAAATGAGAAAAAGAATGGTATTGAACTACAGAATTTATAATATATTTCATATAAAAAAAATCCCCCAATTAAAAAAGTCTCTAAATCAAAATCCCCAAATGGGGGTTTGATTTGTGCTAACCAATTTGGGGTAAATGATAGACATTTTGTTAAAACATGGCAATACGTCGCCGTAGTGGGCCATATTTTCATTGTAAACGATCGAAATTACACCATATTGTCGTCGTTTACTGCTATAAATAACACCGTTGTTATCAACCTGGGAGAATGAAGATAACTTCAAACATTTGATGTAAAAAGATTAGCAAAAAATTTTTTTTTCTAAGAATAAATATTTCAAAAAAGCGAGGACTTTTTGAATACTCTATTGTTTCGACATGATTACTTCTGACTATCAGATTATCAAAAATCTATTTTTATTTTTAAGAAGTGAATGATGATTTTATACAAATAATTCTTCTTGTTAGAATTGCTGTTGTGACATCTTTTATTTAAAATATGATTAAATTTTTTACTGTTATCATAAGACATGCCTCTCATTATGGAACGCAATGAGCACTATGGACATGGCTTACTGCAATCAGTATCTGTTGGCAAAGCAAAAAGACGAGGATCTTGTGGAGCGATATCCCATACATCATAATCAGTAAATTGACGAGGTGTTTTAAAATTAGGTCCTGAATAACGAACACCATCTCTACGTCCATCAACCTCACTCCAATATTCATGTTCCCAAGCATACCAATGATCAACAGTCCTGCCATGTATCTGTTCTATTCCAAGCCATGTAGCACTTTTAAGCCAATCTCGAGGTACACCAAAATTTCCCGGCATTGCTATGCAACAAAGGTTACGAGAAATAATGTAAACATCTCCAATAATCAATATAGTGCAACTCGATTCATTCAATGCCCAACCATAACAATAACCAAAATGATCATGACGTTCTTGACCTTGCCATTTTCCACTAGCTGTATCGTTTGTATATGCATAATAAAAAAGACTACGATGAGCATGTGGTTGATTATTTTCATCAAAAGCAGTTACTATTGCTTCTGTTCTAAATATAAAACACAGATTAATTCATTATATATTTTATATGAATAATAAAGTTTACTTGAACCCATCAGGCCATAATGGGTATGAAGGAGGAGTTTGACGTTCACACACAGCGAATGTCGTTATCACAAGAAACGTTATAATTCTTAGCATATGTGACATTTTGGGAGTGTATCAAGTAGTGGTAATTACGTTTTCTTTTAAAGTATGAAAATTTTTGTTATTTTTACTATGTCATATTTGCGCTGCATCTATGAGAATCCGATCAGCTGTCTATCTTGAATATTGTAACAGTAAGGATTTCGATGCAAATTTTCATGCCATATTCTTTTTCGCGTGGCAGTATATTATGCCAAATTAAGAGTACAACAGAAAATAAAAATGAACGAAAAAATTGTAAATAATCAATCAAGAAAAAATTCTAGTTGAGAAAATGAATAATATTGAGATATCATTGCGATAGATGTCAGAAAGTATTGATGAAAAAATTCAAAATAATATGATTGGAGTGAGTGTATATTCTTATTCCTGGACACTGCGTAACTTCCATGAAATATTTCGTCTATATTCCTTATTCAGTCTAGTTAAATTTATTTTTCTAATTGTATAGAAAATTCTATGTAATGTAATCGAATAAGATCATTTTTTTATAAAGCCTCGATAAAGTAAAAGCATTCATATTAAGTAGTTGTTTTCTTATACATGAGTATCTCAAACATTGCTTTTTTTTTTAACAAACTAGGATTTTTTATTATTTTCAAGATGAAACGTGGAACTTTAATACTTGAGGATGGTTCTAAATTCAATGGTTTTGTATTTGGAGCATCAACTAATACTGCCGGTGAAGTCGGTAAGATTCTGTTAGTTAATCTAGTTCCTTTTTTTCTAGTTATTTTTATTTCTATTTAGTATTTCAAACTGGTATGGTCGGTTATACTGAATCATTGACTGATCCATCTTATTGTGGAGAAATTCTAGTTCTTACTTATCCACTTATTGGCAATTATGGTTTGTTTTTTTAGATGTTTAGCTTTAAATATTATTTATCTTATATGCAATATGCTCTTCAGGTGTACCCGATGAAAAAACTGTCGATGATTTTGGTCTTCTTCGATGGGTTGAATCGAATAAAATTTATGCATCTGCATTAATTGTTAGTGCTTATACAGAACAATATAGTCATTGGAATGCCGTTGAGTCTCTTTCATCATGGTTAAAAAGGCATAATGTTCCTGGTCTTTATGGTTAGTTTTCTTTTGATTGTTTTTTTTTAATTACTGAATTTAAATTATCATTATTGTAGGTATTGATACACGCATGTTAACGAAAAAACTTCGTGAACATGGAACAATGCTTGGAAAAGTATAGCTGTCTTGTTTTTTTTTCTTTTTACTAAATCAAATATGAATAGATTGTTATGGACGGAGTTGATCCAAAATCAATTCCATTTCAAGATCAGAATAAAGCTAATCTTATGACACAAGTTTCTATTCAAGTAAATAAACTCTTATATATTTTTTTTTTTTTTGATAACTTCTTGTGTTTTTTTTTCTTTATTGAATTATTAGAAACCACGTGTCTTTAATCCAACAGGCAAACTATCGATTGCTTGTATTGACTGTGGTCTTAAAAATAATCAATTACGAATTTTATGTCAACTTGGTGCAAAAGTAACTGTCTTTCCTTGGAATCATCCTGTTAAACAAGATGGTATTTTATTTGAAAAAAAAAATAGATAAAAACTTTTCTTTTCTTTTTTTTTTTTTTTAAGAATTTGATGGTCTATTTTTGAGTAATGGTCCCGGTGATCCACAAACTCAATGTCCAGAAACTATTGCAACAATTACGTCATGGATTAAAAGTGAAACTGTTAAACCAGTATTTGGTATTTGTCTTGGTCATCAGGTAAAAATTTTAAATCAATTTGTGTTATTGTTCTATTAAATGAATTCATTTTGTTTTTCTTCAAGTTAATGGCGTTAGCTGCTGGAATGAAAACAGCAAAACTTAAATATGGAAATCGTGGTCATAATCAAGTATGTCTTTCATAATAATTTTCAAATCGATAACAATAGTTATTTTGGTATTTTAAGCCATGTTTATTGGAAGGAACCCATCGTTGTTTTATAACATCACAAAATCATGGTTTTGCAGTTCAAACATCGCAAGGTTTAGCTCAAGACTGGAGTATTTTGTTTACAAATCAAAATGATAAATCAAATGAAGGCATCATTCATGATTTTAAACCATTTTTTAGTGTACAATTTCATCCTGAACATTGTGCTGGACCACGTGATACAGAAAATTTATTTCAAATATTTCTTGATGTTGTTCAATCATATAAGTCAAACAAACCAATGAATATAAAATCATATTTAAAAGAACAATTAACTAGTCGTTGTACTGGTGTTAATACACCACCAGAAGCATTTTGTGATCGAGTGAAGAAAGTATTAATTTTAGGTAGTGGTGGTTTGACTATTGGACAAGCAGGCGAATTCGATTATTCTGGTATAAGAAAAAAAATTTTATATGTTATTTTAATTATTTTTTTTTTTAAAGGAACACAAGCAATAAAATCAATGAACGAAGAAAATGTGTATACTATATTAATCAATCCAAATATTGCAACAGTTCAAACATCAAAAGGTCTTGCTAATAAAGTATTCTTTTTACCAATAACTCCTGCTTATGTTGAACAAGTTATTCGTAATGAACGTCCCAATGGTATTTTACTTAGCTTTGGTGGACAAACAGCATTGAATTGTGGTATTCAATTACATGAATCGGGTATTCTTAAAAAATATGCATGTAATATATTAGGGTAAGAAAAATATTTTCATATTTAAATCATTGATTTTCTTTCTAATATGAATAGAACACCAATTGAATCAATTCAACTTACTGAAGATCGATCGTTATTTGCACAAAAAATGGCCGGTATTGGTGAAAAAGTTGCACCATGTGAAGCTGTTCATTGTCTTGAAGAGGTTTGATCATAAAAAATAATTCCAATATTATCACTAATTATATATTTTAGGCATTACTATCAGCTGAACGGCTTGGTTATCCACTTCTTGTTCGGTACATACATCTTCTAAATGAATTCTTTTACTAATTCTTGTTTTCTAAATAGGGCTGCTTTTGCACTTGGTGGTCTTGGATCAGGTTTTGCCGAAAATCGTGAAGAATTAATTCCTTTAGTTACATCAGCATTAGCACATTCATCTCAATTATTAATTGATAAATCACTTAAAGGTTGGAAAGAACTTGAATATGAAGTTGTTCGTGATCAATATGATAATTGCATTGTGGTATGTTTTAATACTAAATTGCTCTTTTTTGAAACACGATCTTAAAGAAGTATTGAAGTGCTGCAATATCTGAAGAATTAAATAAAAGAATGGTGAAGAAATTTGCTCCAAGCTAGATAGAACAAAATAATTATCCTATGATTAGCAACTGTAGTGACATCGTATTCCATATTTTAATCCCGCAAGGGTTGCGCGAACAGCTAATTTTTTATTTCTTAAAAATATGCGATGTTTTTATTTTAAGGTATGCAATATGGAAAATATTGATCCATTAGGAATTCATACTGGTGAATCAATTGTTATTGCACCAAGTCAAACATTATCAAATGATGAATATAATTTATTACGAAGTGTATCAATTAAAGTTGTTCGGCATTTGGGTATTGTTGGTGAATGCAATGTACAATTTGCACTAAGTCCATTTAGTAATGAATATTATATAATTGAAGTCAATGCACGATTATCTCGTTCATCGGCATTAGCATCAAAAGCAACTGGTTATCCATTGGCATATATAGCAGCTAAACTTGCACTTGGAATGAGTTTAGTTGAATTAAAAAATAGTATAACTAATGAAACATGTGCTTGTTTTGAACCAAGTCTTGATTATGTAACAATCAAAATTCCACGATGGGATTTAAGAAAATTTGTTCGATGTTCAAATAAAATTGGAAGTTCGAGTTAGTAATAATTTTTCATTAAATGAAGAAAATTCATGTTTATTTATTTTGTTTTTGGTTTGATTATTCTTTAGTGAAAAGTGTTGGTGAAGTTATGTCTATTGGAAGATCATTTGAAGAAGCATTTCAAAAAGCTTTAAGAATGGTTGATGAAGATGTCACTGGTTTTGATCCATATACAAGAACAATTACAGATGATGTAATGTTATTTAACTCTTTACCCCTCATAGCGATTCCTGTATAGTCACTAATTAAACAACCATTGGAATAGAATATTGGTATCTCCGATATGCCGAAAGTATGGATAGTTCGACCAGGCACACTCTCGTTTGTGTCACCAGCTTGGTCACTCAAGTGACCATTGGGTGCGAATGACTTGGTAAAACTTCTACCTGAGACCTTCCGTAAATGTGATATAGTTGGGCGAAGCAACATCATAGAAAATTCAGCGTCGTCGCATTTTGTAGAGAGTAATTTTCTCTATCATTTCATACGATACGAACAATTTTTATGCTTGAACTGTAGGTGCTAAAAAACTAAAGGTTTGTTTTTCTATAAAATCTGTAGTAAACATTCTGTTTTATTATTTCTTTTCTACATAACTGTTAGGAAACCTTCGACCGATATTGTTACCGTTAGTATACGTTGTCTTCCTTATATATACAAAAAAGAAAAATTTCCATCATATCTTGTTTATTGACAGATAAAAAATTTTCTAAATTTATCTATTTTTCAACTGATCTTTTTCGAAGATGAAACAAGACAAAACAAAATATTTTCTTATCTATTGATAGTTTATGAAGTTCAATATAAGACGTTTTTCCAAACTTTTTTGCAATTTCATTTAGTCTTTAGATTTTGTAATTATTCTAAAAATGATCATGCCAGTGTTCAAAAAGGGAATGGTAAAGGATTAAAGATAATTTTGTATTCTATTTTAGGAATTAAGTATACCAACTGATAAACGTGTTTTTGTCATAGCAACAGCTCTTCGACAAGGTTATACAATAGAACGTTTATTTGAATTAACGAAAATCGATAAATGGTTTCTACATAAATTTTCATCAATTATTCAATTTATCGTTAATCATTCTGATGCATCAATTGTTCAAGATCGAACACGTTTACTTGAAGCAAAACGTTTAGGGTTTTCTGATAAACAAATTGGTATGTATTGCAATACTACTGAACTTGAAGTTTATGCATCACGTCAACGATTTGGTGTACGACCACGTGTTAAACAAATTGATACAGTTTCTGGTGAATGGCCAGCACAAACAAATTACCTTTATCTAACTTATCATGGTAATATTGATGATGTAAAACCAAGTATAAATGAAGAAACACCAATTCTTGTACTTGGATCTGGTGTTTATCGAATCGGTAAATATAAAATTTGTCTCTTCTTTTCGTTTTTTTGCCAAGTTTAAAGTTTTCTAGGAAGTAGTGTAGAATTCGATTGGTGTGCTGTTGGATGTTTAGAAGAATTACGACGTCTTGGTCATTATACTTTGAGTAAGAATTTTTTTCGAATTAAAGAAAAAAATCTAGAATTTGTTTTTCTTTTTAGTGCTGAATTGTAATCCAGAAACTGTTAGTACTGATTATGATATGAGTGATAGATTATATTTTGAAGAAATTTCATTTGAATCTGTACTTGATGTTTATAATTTTGAAAAACCATATGGTATTATTTTATCCATGGGTGGACAATTACCAAATAATATTGCAATGGATTTACATCGACAAATACATGTTCATGTTCTTGGTAGAAATTTAATTATTATGTTTTATGTAATGACTTCTTTTGTTTTTCTTTAGGTACTCTACCGGAAAGTATTGATACAGCTGAAAATCGTTTTAAATTTTCTCGTTTACTTGATGAAATCAATATTCAACAACCAAAATGGAAAGAATTATCAAATTTTAATAGTGCTAGTACCTTTTGTGATTCAGTTGGCTATCCATGTCTTGTTCGTCCATCTTATGTTTTATCTGGTGCAGCAATGCGTATTGTTTTTAATGCTAAAGATTTAAAAGCATATTTAAGTGAACATGGTCTTTCAAAAGAATATCCTGTCGTTATTTCAAAATTTATTCTTGATGCAAAAGAATTAGATATTGATGCTGTTGCATGGAATGGTCAAGTTGTTCGAATGGTAAACATTTAAAATGATAAATAATCGAACAGAGAAAACAAAGAATTGTTTTTTATTTAGGCTATTTCTGAACATGTTGAAAATGCTGGTGTTCATTCTGGTGATGCTACTTTAGTAACACCACCACAAGATCTTAATGAAGATACTATTGAAAAAATTCGAATAATTTGTTTTTCAGTTGCTAAAGCATTACAAATATCGGGACCATTTAATTTACAATTAATAGCTAAAGTTAGTTCTTGTTTTTTGATACAAAAAATATGATTGATTAAGATCTATTATTATGTTTAGGATAATGAATTAAAAGTAATTGAATGTAATGTTCGTGTATCTCGTTCATTTCCATTTATTTCTAAAACATTTGATCATGATTTTATTGCTGTTGCTACACAAATTCTGGTTGGTGTTGAACCAGAATTGATTCAAGATCCACTTTTTCTTCGTTCGGAACGTGTTGGTGTTAAAGTTCCACAATTTTCATTTTCACGTTTATCTGGTAAAGAAAAACAAAACCTTTGAATTCATTTTTATTCTTATTTTTAAATTCATTTCCTAAAAAAAGGTGCTGATGTCTTACTTGGTGTTGAAATGATGTCTACCGGTGAAGTTGCTTGTTTTGGTATTGATCGTTTTGATGCTTATTTAAAAGCATTAATAAGTACTGGATACCGAATGCCGAAAAAAAATATTCTTGTTTCAATTGGTTCATATAAAGCTAAACAAGAATTATTACCAACTATTCATACTTTAAAAGAACTTGGCTATGAATTATATGCTAGTATTGGATCAGCTGATTTTTATGAAGCTAATAATATTTCTATTCATCCAATTGATTGGAAATATGAACAAACAGAAACAAATTCAGCTGGATTCGAATATACTAATGGTTTTAATGATTCGCCAACAAGTGAAAATAATCCACAAACAACAATTGCAGATTATCTTGCTAATGGTGCATTTGATTTAGTAGGGATTTTTCTTTTATTTGATTTTCATAAATAATGCTATTTGATTATTGTAGGTCATTAATATTCCAATGCGTTCAACAGGATTATTTCGTGCATCTTCATTCGTTACTCAAGGATATCGTTGTCGTCGTTTAGCTACTGATTATAGTGTACCATTAATGACTGATGTTAAATGTGTTAAACTATTTGTTGAAGCTTTACGTCGATTAAGTTATCGAGAAAAAAAAATTGATATGTCTATTGATTGTATTTCATCGACAACACTTATTCGATTGCCTGGATTTATTGATTGGTAAAACAAAAAGAAATTAAATGTTTTGGGCTTTTTTTATAAAATAAATATATTTTTCTAGTCATGTTCATTTACGAGAGCCCGGTGATGAACATAAAGAAGATATTGTCAGTGGTACAGCTTCAGCTTTAGCCGGTAAGAGTTAAATTTTAAAAGTAAGATAAATAACAATAAGAAACCGTGTATCTTTTTTTCAGGAGGTATTACAATGGTTTTAGCAATGCCAAATACTAAACCAGCATTAACAAATGCAACTGTATTAGACCTAACTGAAAAACTCTATGAAAAAAAAGCTTTATGTGATTATGGTTTATATATGGGTGCAACTGTTGATAATTTTCAAACTATTTCTGATATTGCGCATCGATGTATTGGATTAAAGATGTATCTAAATACAACATTTGGTGATTTAAAATTAGACAATATGGAAATATGGATGAAACGTAAGAAAAATAAATCTATAAATATACAGTGTGTACTAAAACTATTTAACAAGGTTTGTTTTCGATTATTTTTCAGCTACCTTAAACTGTAGAAAGAATAAAAATAATGGTTTGAGTAGGAGAAATTGTTTCCCAAATTGAACATAAGTAGAAAATAATTCTTATCACATTCGTAAAGGTAGAGTCTCCAGAAAATTCAAATCCTAGCTCTTCAGTATCTAGAACTCGTAAATATAATTTTGTTTGGATTATATATGAAGAAGAAAGAATACCTTTTCCTTTAGGCTACCTTGTGGTAGAGGGTGTTGCCTCGTGGTAGATTCATTAGTCTGATATCTTCCCAACAAATAACGCTGGTCGTAGTTTTGGACAGAAGATCAGCCTGACACAGAGTTCTTGTACGCAATTGCTTGAGCCCCCATACATACTAAATAACCACATACTAATCACGAGAGCAAGTGTACATCATAATCTGAGACAAACAGTCGTCAGTGACTTATACAGGATCATTTCATTGCTGATAGTACTGAAGTTTGAGCACATTATCTATTGGATATGTGCTGAACAACATAGTCACTCTGTCATGACAATGAACTACATAAAATGACAGAGCAAACAATTCTCGTCAGAATGATATCTCTCTATGCTTTGTACGACGATTGTTAACTGTAATACAGCAACGTTATGGATATCTCTAAAGTCATTTTTTTATATTGTGGAGCTCACATATTTTCGAAGAAAATAGCGAGTGTAAGTTCTAACTCGAAATTTGCGCAGCTCCCCCTCCGTTACAGACACTTAGCAATAGAAGTCCCCGTTACAGACCCTCCCCCTCCCCCCGTTTTGTTTTAATAGAAACTTAGCAACGACAGCTACTATTACAGATTTCAGCGATCGAGAATAACAGTTATCAGATGTTCTAGAGGTTTCAAAATTGATCCAGTTATAATTTTGAAAGATAATCAACGTCATTGTTGGTGAGTTGTTTAATATATATAATAGTGCATAAGATCTGTTGAAAATATCATGGATATATAAAACAGACTTATTTGCCGATTAGTTCAATGATTAAAATAATAAGAATGTTAAACTATTACAAAGAAATTAAAAAAATGAAAAATAATGAGTGAATAGCAACATGCAAACAAAAAATAGGGCACCCGTAATAAAAATAAAAAATTTTTTGTTTGCAAGGAAGACATGAGAAAGACTCTTACTCTGATGTTCAATTATTCTGCAACACAACAAGTCTGTAAGAGATTTTTCACTTTACGAATTTTGTATTAGTTGAATGAGACTAGAGAACATATGTAAGTTCCACATTTCAGCTCCAAAGAGACTGAACTAACAAACTTTTATTTCACGTACAATAAGTATTTTTGGATCTTCAATAAAATTACTATATCTCAGTCAAAAACACGTTGTACAGAACTCAAAAATGTCTTATTTTGTAGAGATCTATTTGTTCCATCGTTCTATGTAACTGAAACAAAATTATATTTACACGTTTTGAATGCTGAAAAACTAGGATGCAGATTTTCTGGACGTTCTATCTTTTGAAATTTAATAATGATTGTTTTCTTCAGTGATATTCATGTTGGAAACAATTTTCTCTGCATGAATCACTATTTGGATTCTTTCTAGAGCTTAAGACAGCAGAACAAATTTGAAAACAAATTTGAAAACAAATTTTGTTGAATAATTTTGGTACATATTGTATGTATATATAATGTTTTTATTCATTTAGATTTTGAAACATGGCCACATGATATGCCAATTGTAGTTCATGCTGAAAATCAAACAGTTGCAAGTATATTATGTTTATCTGAAATTTATTCACGTAGTGTTCATATTACACATGTTGCTCGTCGTAATGAAATTCTTTTAATACGAGCAGCAAAATCAAAAGGTTTATTAGTAACATGTGAAGTAACGCCACATCATTTATTTCTTCATCGTGATAATACACAATTTATATTAAATGAATATGGTAATATGGAAGGTTTTCGTCATGTTAAACCTGAACTTCAAACAATTGATGATTGTCAAGCATTGTGGGATAATATAGATATAATAGATTGCATTGCTACAGATCATGCGCCACATACACGTGAAGAAAAATCAAATAAAGAAAATCCACCACCTGGTTTTTCTGGTTTACAAACAGTAATACCATTATTATTAACAGCTATACATAATGGAAAATTAACAATGGAACAATTAATTGAAAAAATGTATACAAATCCAAAACGTATATTTAATTTACCTGATCAAGGTGATGATACATTTATTGAAATTGATATGGAAAGAAAATGGGTAATTGACGATAAATTCTTATTAACAAAATCAGCATGGACACCATTTATTGGTATGACAATGCATGGTGCTGTTCATCGTGTTGTATTACGTGGTGAAGTTGTTTTTGTTGATGGACAAGTATTAGCTGAACCAGGTACAGGAAAAAATATAATTAATTTACGTGGCGAATTGAATCAAATAAAAACAATAAAAACATCACAAAATTTACCATTGGAAAATAAACGTTCACCTAGTCATGCCGAACGAAAACGACAACGATGTAAATAATTCAAATTTTATTTTTTTTTGTTTTAGGATTTGAATCTTTTGTTCTTTAAATAGATATTAGTGAACCTAGTGCACTAGATAAACCAGAAAATATACTAAAAATAGCTCCTACTCTAGCGAGACATCATATACTTAGTTCTTTAGAATTAAATCGTGCACAAGTATGTGTTTTTTTATATTAGAAACGTAGAATTCTTCGAAACATTTTTTTCTAGTGTCGAGAAATTTTTACATTGGCACGGTATTATCGAAATTGTCAATTACATCATCGTCAAATAGAACCAATATTAACTGTAATTTATTCTATTGATATTGAATAATTCTTTTCTTTTTCATAAATTAAAATTTGATTTTAAGGGTAAAATTTTATCTCATATGTTTTTTGAACCTTCAACACGTACACAATGTTCATTTACTGCTGCAATGTTACGTCTTGGTGGTAGTGTTATGCCATTTGATAGTCAAGTGTCATCAATTAAAAAAGGGGAATCACTTGAAGGTGAAATAATTTTAAATAAAAAATATTTTATTTTATTTTTTCGATATTATAGATTCAGTTCGAATGTTAATGAGTTATGCTGATGTTATTGTTATTCGTCATCCTGAAGTAGGTATTGTACAACGTGCAGCTAATGTTTCACGTGTACCGGTTATTAATGCTGGTGATGGAATTGGTGAACATCCAACTCAAGCACTCCTTGATGTTTTTACAATTCGAGAAGAAATTGGAACATTTAATGGTTTAACTGTAAGTTATTTTATTTAATTTCTAATCAAACAAAAAATTCTTTGACATCAAAATAAACAGATTACAATGGTTGGTGATTTAAAACATGGCAGAACTGTTCATTCACTTGCAAAATTATTAACTATATACAGTGATAGTATGTTGAATCTAATTGATTTTTGTTTTCGTTTACATTAATCCTTAAAAAAATTGATTCTTTTTTTTTAGAATCAATTTCACTGTATTATGTTTCTCCACCTTCGTTAGCTATGCCTCAGGATGTAATTGACTGTGTTACAGCAGCAGGCATCCCACAAGTATGTATATTATCCAAAGAAAACAAGAAGACAGAAACTTCAACTTATGGAATTTCCTATCCAGGATCGAAGTTTATCTCGTTAATCCTCATAAGAAGCTTTATTTTTATGAATAGTTAGTACACTTCGTAGTGCTCAGTAGAATGAGATAGTACTTAAGAGTATTTATTTTCATTTTAAAAAATGTAATTCTCAGCAGTACCCATTGAAATCAAACCATAGCTCTAAGTTTCTATCCGAAGAAATTGATGGTTTTTCGCAGGAAGATAATCGAACCAGTTATCTTATTTTCCAAAAAGAAAAACAAATCCATGGTGATCGAGCCCCCCCCCTCAGGACTGAAAACGCCTGTACGGGAGTACAGGCAGCCGTTTTTCCCCAGTGAATTTTTTAATTTTCCCATGGTGGGCCCCTCTCATGAGTTTGGGCCCTCTTCTCAGAAAATTTCTGGGCACGTGCCTGTTTGTGTTCCTGCTACATCAGCATTACGGCCTATCGGATTCAAAGTTCTCAGACCTGGATCAACTCAATGAGCTCTTAATCAGCCCCAGTTGACCGTGCGTGTTTCTCAATGTTATTTTTTAATGAAATCACATTGAGGAAATTGTTTACAAACTAATATTTACATTTTGAACATCTCTGAAGTGCAATAAGTTATTAATTTAAATGTTAATCAATATTTTTTTTGTCAAACAGGTTGTTTCTAGAAAGTTATTTTTTTTTATAATCGACATCCAAAAGGGAAGAAAGTCAAAAAATGCAACTTTTATCTGAACGTCCTTTATATGATGGCCTCATACTACTAAGCACTACAAAGTCTACTAAGTATTCATAGAAATAAGGCTTTTTATGAGATTGCATGAAATTAATTTGAGTTCGGTATATAATTCATCTAATTCAAAAAATTGTTTTGCTTAGAAATCATCTACAAATCTTGAAGAAATATTACCACACACTGATGTTCTTTATATGACTCGAATACAAAAAGAACGATTTACATCCGAAGAAGAATATCAAAAGGTTTTTAATTTTCTTTACTTGAAATATTTGAAGACTAATTAATGAGTTTGTCTTTTTCGTTATTCATAGGTGTGTGATCTTTATAAAATAACACCAAAATTTATGCGTAAAGCGAAAAAACATGGCAAGATGATTGTTATGCATCCATTACCTCGTCTTGATGAAATAAGTACTACATTTGATAGTGATCCTCGAGCTGCATATTTTCGTCAAGCTGAAAACGGTCTTTATATTCGTATGGCTTTACTAACAATCATACTTTCCAAATAATGGTCGGTGTGATGAATGATAATTTTTGTTATTTGTTATTTCCAGTTATTGTTTTCGTTGATTTTTCTGTTTTTGTTTCTATAACAATCAGTTTATCTCAAACGTGTTACATGTTTTTTCTAATGTTATTTTATTCAAGCGTTTGATGAAAGTATACGTTAAAGATATTTGTTATCGTTTTCAGATAATGTCTAAAGTACTTCGATTTGCACCAGCTGTAAAAGAATTACGTTTGCATTTATGTCAAAAATCACCAACAAGTGAAGGTACACGTCAATTTATTGAAAAATTTTACGTTAATTTAAAACAACAAAATCCATCAACACCAATACTCATTCGAGAATGTTCAAATATAAATCCAACATTATGGACACGATATGAATATGGAATTGAAAAACAAATTCCATTAACTGGCATGAATGCTGAACAAGTGTTTAATGCTATTGAAAATTTAACAACTAAAACGATTCCAATAAGTTCAAATCGTTTGTCGAAATAAACTTTTGTACTTTTACTTTTCTCGTATTTTTGTCATTTCGACTAACCATTTACGTAGCTTTATTACTTTTTTTTTTTGTCCTTGAAAAAAACACAAACTCTAAACCCAATTAATGTCTATTTAACCTATTCATATTTGTAGATCATTTATTATTTAGAATAAAATCATGGATGAAATTAAAAAAGATAATCGTTTTGCTCATATTACGAAAGATCCACGTTTTCGACCAGTATCAAAAAGTGAAAGAAAATTAAAAATTGATCGACGTTTTGCATCTATGTTTAATGATCCAAAATTTAAATTAAAATATACAGTTGATAAACGTGGAAGACCACTTATTAAAGAACATACAACACGTGATGATATGAATAAATTTTATCATCTTGAACAAGATGATGATGATGATAGTAGTTCGATATCATCTGAAGAAGAAACAACAAAAAAGAAAACGAGAAAAACTAAAACATCTGTAGATGATGAAGAACTTGATGAACTACTTCAAAGTGATGAAAGTGATAATGAAGAAAAAGTAGATAATGATAATGGAGAAGAAGAAGAAGAAGAAGAAGAAGAAAGAAAGTCAAGTTCATCCGAAGAAGATGAAGACTTACCTGAAGTTGATGATGGAATCGAATGGAATGAATTTGATGATAAATGTACTCGGTAAGTATTTTTTCAAAATCGATAGTAATGGAATATATTTATTAACGTGCCGAAAATTTGAAATTCGAATAGCTTTTTTATCGTAGTTTGATAGAGCTCGTCGATAGGGAAGCATAAATCAGAGGATTCGAAAATAACACTGAGGTAGTGTAAAGAATGAAATATGATGAAAGTTAATATTTAGTATTAAGTATACTATTCGTTGCAGATTTTTTATGCTGATGCTGAATATGATATTAGTTTCTTTTGAAACTGAAGTTCTGAGTTCCAGAAAATCTTAGAATACAAATTCATATATACAGTGGAGTGCAAAAAAAATTGCCGTTGCACTTACGCATTTTCTCGAGTCATATCTGTGAAGCGCATGAACGGATTCTTCTGAAACTTTTATCAGTAATCAAGGATGTACTATAGATTTTAATCAGAGCGCGACTCCTCAAAAAATGTCGTTCGGTAGAGCGAGAGACATCATGATTCGAGTGTCCACCGCTTTTCTAGAATANACCGGGTGTTCCAAAAGTTTTGCAACATTTTGTATTTTGCATTTATCTCGACTTGAGAAAATGATAAAATCTTGATGTTTTTCTTAAAAGATGCACCGTGAAAAGCTCTACAAAAACTGTATAAAGAAATCTCTATTAACTGGTTCTGATGGGTTTCCGATGCTTAATACGAACAACCTACATGGTGGCGATATGTCCCACCGTATTGAGCATTGGGAAAATGTTTGAAAGACCTTTTTCGTTTTGCAATAGGGATTTGTTCGTATAGATTGTGTAGAGCTGTTAACAGCGCATCTTTTAAAAAAATAATCAAGATTGTATCATTTTCTCAAGTCGAGATATAGACGAAATAAAAAAACTTATAACATCCGGTAGCAACGTCACGCATATCTTCACTTTTAATCATCTCGAACACCATCAGAACCAGTAAATAGAGATTTCTTTATACAGTTTTTGTAGAGCTTTTCATGGTGCATCTTTTAAGAAAACAATCAAAATTTCATCATTTTCTCAAATCGAGATATATGCAAAGCAAAAAATGTCTTCCAAACATCTTCTAATATTGGGACATAGCACTACCATGGAGGTTGTTCATATTAAGCGTCGGAAAACCATCAGAACCAGTTAATAGAGATTTCTTTATACACTTTTTGTAGAGCTTTTCACGGCGCATCTTTTAAGAAAAAAATCAAGATTTTATCATTTTCTCAAGTCGAGATAAATGCAAAAATACAAAATGTTGCAAAACTTTTGGAACACCCGGTATATTTCTAAGTCTCGTGGTAGAATTTGCTTTCTTCATTTTTTTTCAATCAGGATGAAATGTTACTGTTTGTTTTTGTTCTAATAAAATTTAGAGAAAAAGAAATTATCGAAACAAAATAAGTCGATTTTCATTGAGCAAGAAACAGTAAACCTTGAGTTTTCAAAATTAAACGAATTTTGTTGTTTTCTCCTTAAATTTTAATGCCGATCTTAGTACGATACACATAATCATTATTGAAAAACTTTATTCTTGTAGATATTCATTAGGATTATTCTTTGTTGTCAGAGATCTTTGTTCTATATTATTAAAAAATAATTGAAAAAGAACTTTTCCACTAATGATTTCATTTCCTTTAGAACATCGATCGGTGCACAACGTGCTCCAGTTTTTGAATTTTCATATGAAACAAATCCGCCAGCACAACAACCAAAAACCAAACGTCTTTCATTTGCACTTGCTGTTCGTAGTCGTGGTCTTTGTTTTGTTTGTTGTCCAATATCTTTCGAACGTCTACGTGATTTTTTCTCATCAGCATTTGTTGAGCCATCTTCAACTCCATCATCACCAACAATTCTTCAACATTGGACACATTTAAAAGATCGTACAACAAAACAATTAAAAGCAGCATTTGAACAAATATTTTCTCGTACAACAACTAAAATGACTTCATCAAATGTAAAAAATATCAAACAAGGTCAAAGACGATTTAAAAAAAAATTTGACATCTATCTTGATATTTGTGCACCACAAATGATTATTCCACAATCATCACATCGTGCACTAATTATTGATTTTGGTTATTTAACATTTATTAATGATGAATATAAAACATCATCATGTCCATTAAAAAATTGTAATATGCATAATAATAATGATTCAAATTCTCCATTATCGATAACAAATTATTTTCAAAAACGTCCATATTTTTTTAATGAACAACCATTATCAATAGCAAATGAAGATGATGATGATGAATTTGTAACACCCGATAGTTCACCAGTAGCAAATGATAATTCACTTGAAATAGAAACAACAAATTATCCTGTTAATATCATTCCAAGAGAACAAAGTATATCACCAATACATAATAATGAAAGTTTACTATATACATTATTTTCATTATCATTATGTGATATGCAATTAGGTTATTTAACATATACAAATAATCAATCAAAAGATAATTTATCATCAATTATTGAAAAATTTGGTGTTTGTTTTTTAATACAATATCGAACAATACAAACCTATGATTCTTTATGGCCATTAATAAAAGTTTCAGGTACATTACCAAAAATAATTCTACATCTTGATCCATTACGTATTGAAACATTATGTGGTGCAATAAATAATTGGGGTTCATTTACTGAAAATTTAACATCAACAATTGTATCAAATAAAACTGATATAACAAATAATAAACATTCTAATGATGATTTAACTGCACGTCTAGCACTTAGCTTTTCTATTAATGAAATAAGTATACAATTAAGTGATGAATTACGTGCATTATCAGAAATACGTATACAAAATATTGATTTAACATTAATGAATTATATTTATTCAAATATATTATCATTTAGTGTACATACATTAATGATTGTTGATGCTATACAAAATCATGGTAAAGATTATGAATTATTATTAACAAGTAATCGTGCATTAGACATAAATACTCAAACAGGTACATTATATGAATCAAATACATTATCATCAAATATTGATAATGAATATTTAATACGTATTAATATACAATCAATTAAAGATATAGATAAAAATGAAAATTGTTTAACTATTGATATGCATGTTAATAAATTACATTTTGTATTTAATCCAGAAACATTATCAATATTAATTAATTTTATTGTTAATATAATTTATTCAATGAAAAATATATTTCGAGAAAATTTTAAAGAAGAAAATAAAATAAAATCAACTATTGAAAAAAAACATCGAACTAAATTTCAAATCAATAGTGAATTTCAAGAATTAAGTATTTTATTTGCAAATGTTTTAACAAGAAAATCATTTGAAAATAGATTTATTGGTAGTAAACTTGAAAAAGTAGCTGCAGCTAGAATTAAATATGCATCATTAAATATTTTTATTGAATCATCAACATTAGTTGAAGCTGAAATATGTTCATTACAAATATTTAATCTTCTACATGATTCATTATTATTACCATATAATGAAGAATCAAGTGCAATTATTAATCTTGGTATTGAAGAAAAAAATGTCGATACAAAAAATATTGATCACGACGAAATTTTACCTAGTAAAGCGTTTCATCTTGTATATACAAAAACGAATGATGATACAAATCATAATAGTAATAATGAGATTGAAGATTTATTAATTGAAATGGCATCAGTTTGTTATACACATTCACCGAAAATTATTTTTAAAATTGAAAAAATTTTTAATTACATGGCTCAACATTGTCATTCAACAGCAGCTATTGAAATGGAAAAAATGAAACAAAATATGATTAAACAAGGATCGATCTTACTTAATCAATATGTTCTTTCAACTGAATCAGGTAAGATTGATCAGATATGACATGCTTTATACATTCCGATTGATTATGAAGTCTTGCATTTTCTACTTGACTTACTATTGACTTGATTTCATTCATAGTTTCTTTTCTTACATTATGTACGCACTTGATTTTATCAAATAGTAGCCATTAGTACTATGACGGATTAATTTAAAGAATCTGAGAAAATGTGCAATATCAAAACTTTCATAAATAAACTTGACAAGTAGAAACACATTGCCAAAACACTTGTGCTTGCTGAACGAGGCTTGATTGGAATAAGTATAGTGTTACGAAATACTTAAAACAAATTTGGACATTCATCATCAGTGTATAAGTATCATTTGTAGTGCTCTTAAGATCAAGATGGAAACGTGAAAGAATAAGATTTCAAAGATATGTCAGATGAGCTTATTTTAGAGTATATGTGAGCAAAATTATGACAGAAATAATCTCATTCTACAAAAAGAGAGACTTTCTTATTAACAAGTGGTATCAAAAGAGGTACATATATATGTTAGTCAACAAATTT